TTTCGTTCCACCGGCACCACATTTGCTCAGGCCAATCTACACCCCATGGCCATTAAAAGTTATTCAAATCATGACGCTGCACCCCACAGTTTACGTTCTAGGGGGCGCCAAAGATAACCCTAAAATCCACATATTTAAAAGTCTTATAACTTTTTATTTTTGCCCTCACTGGCCTCCAAGTTTTCTAGGATGATGCAATGTCCAGCCATCAACACATTTGTGAAGGAATTTTTACTCCCCAAAAGAGCGCCCCCCCATGGCAGGAGAAAAAAGTCCATTTTTTCTTGTCCCCTAAGGTGAAAATACACATTGTTGAGTGTCACGCCTGTACGCTTTGTCAAAATGACACAAAAATTGACACACACATGTATCTCAATAAGATCTACAAAAAAGTCAAAGAGCGCGTATCTGTCAAATGTACGGTTAAAGGGTTATTCCGCATTTTTTGCCGATTCGCACACATTGGAATTTTGCTAACTCCTCCGAAGGCTTTCGTTCCACTGGCACCACATTTGCTCAGGCCAAATTACACCCCATGGCCATTAAAAGTTATTCAAATCATGACGCTGCACCCCACGGTTTACGTTCTAGGGGGCGCCAAAGATAACCCAAAAATCCACATTTTTAAAAGTCTTATAACTTTTTATTTTTGTCCTCACTGGCCTCCAAGTTTTCTAGGATGATGCAATGTCCAGCCATCAACACATTTGTGAAGGAATTTTTACTCCCTAAAAGAGCGCCCCCCATGGCAGGAGAAAAAAGTCCATTTTTTCTTGTCCCCTAAGGTGAAAATACACATTGTTGACTGTCACGCCTGTACGCTTTGGCAAAATGACACAAAAATTGACAATCATGTGTATCTCAATTAGATCTATGAAAAAGTCAAAGAGCGCGTATCTGTATAATGTACGGTAAAAGGGCTATTTTGCATTTTTTGCCGATTCGCACACATTGGAATGTGGCTTACTCCTCCTAAGGCTTTCGTCCCACTGACACCAAATTTGCTCAGGCCAATCTACACTCCATGGCCATTCAAAGTTGTAAAAATCATGACGCTGCACCCCGCGGTTTACGTTTTAGGGGGCGCCAAAGATGACCCAAATATACATTACAGTAGACAAAGTAGTTTTGCCCACTGAGTGGCGCCAAAGGGACTTGTCTGTGGAGTCTGTGAGTCACTATTGGCCGTTTTTGACTACTTTAGATTTTACCTTTATATTTCCTCTTACAAAATTTTTACCTTGCCTTGCCTGGTATCATTTTTTTCAGCACAACCTCACCTGTGTCAATTTACAGTTATTTTATCATTTTGACATACTATATTTACACATTGGACCCAAATTCACACACAAAACATAAAATCCGAGTGGAAAAAAGTAACGTTTTTACTGTGAAAACCACAAATATGTGTGATGAACTGTTTTTAAAACTTAAACTTCAAATAAAAATTGTAAACTTCAAAACATATGCAAATTTTTAACAAAGAACATAGTAATTTACCTCTATTTACATCAAAATGCAGGCAATGGCCCAGGTGTTCTTTGTAAAATTATTTACAAAACACTGTATAGTCTCACAAATGTCACTTTTTATTTATGCCACTACAAAAAAACATGATGTAAATGATGCATGATGTAAAACATGATGTAAAAAACTTGTGTAGATCCTCCTCTATGTCAGTCCATGTGTAATTTTTCCATAATTCTTTGTTTTTTGCAGCATTTTTGTTAGTGTAACTGCAGATTGTGCTGACAGTGTCTATGGCAAAAAAAAAAAAAAAAACTGAAAATGCCTCAACATGAACCCCTGGTGGTCTCTGAGGGTGAAACCTGCTAACTGCTGCAGCTCTGTCAGCTTCAGTCTCCCAGGCAGAGCTCGGAGCGCATGTGTGGCTCTGCACCCTTAGCAGCGTTGCTAACTCCTCAGTAAGGAAAGCCTGCTTCACGTCAGAGTCTCTAAACTCCAGAAGAAGTCGATAAAAGTCACTTTCTTTCTAAAAAAAAGTCGTTAGGGGGTCTGAAAAGTCATTGAATCTAACAACAAAGTCGCTAGGTTTGCAACTACGTGTCCCAGACTGCATCCCTGCTGAGAGTCCCTCCCTCCCTTCTCATATTGCAGGAAGAACGTAAGCGCCCGCCCCTTGTCAATCAGTCACCATATAATTTTGGATTGGTTGTTGTGGTGAAGTTTTCCACCAATAGGAGAGATGTTGTGGTGTGTTTTTTTTTTCTTTTGGCAAGCCTTTTCCGCCTGTAAGACCTGTCGCTAATGTCTGCATGCTATGTTTTCCTGTCTCATACAGCGCGATCGAGCGCCGAACGTGATCAAAATAAGCAGAAAACAAGTATCGCGGACATAATTTATCATAACTCTGGTTTTATTTGGCCTATCAACACAATTTAAAAACTGGTATATAGGTTGAGGTCCTCACTTTTGAGATAAGTTGAAACGGAGAGTCAACGAGGCTCCGTCTTGCAGCTACATCCGGTTAAATATGTCATGTGACTTGAACGCACACACACACACACACACAGACACACACACACGCACACACATACACTCAGAGTCTGGTTTTTAGCACCTGCAAAAACATGCTATTTACATATTTGACAAGAATGCAGAGGCTCCTTTTGCCCCTGAAAAAAATCAAATTTCAAACACAACTTGACTGGTCATTTCTCCAAAAGACAACCATGAAGCTCCATCCAAACCTGAAGCAGGCAGTTGGTGCATGTGTACAGTAACCTGAGGGGAGTGAGGTGACTGCTTCTGAGGAGAACATGAGCAGTGAAGATTCACCTTAGAGCTAGAACAGAGACGTGCACATGATTATACAGGGGCAGGGGCTCAAGTTTTTTCCAGTTGTTTATACAATATGGAAATTAATGTGAAATTAAAAAACTAAGTATTAATAGAAAGGTAATGACTGTCCTGTGTAGGTGACAGTGATATCCAATAGGCTAGGCACTCATGAGGCTGGCTGTGGCAAGTGTAAGTGAAAGCAACACGCACTGGCAGGAAGAACAGCAAACGCAGATGAAGGAAAAGGGTCTTTGCAGTGATGGGCGTTACCAGAGAGGGCGATGGCCAGAGGACACAAATGGGACGGGGAGGCAGCGCGTTGGGGGGGGGACGCGACACAGCTCGGGCCCGCCAGTGCCCCAACGGGGTCCTAGTTCTTTCTTTCTTTCTTCTTTTTCCTCCCCTTTGAACTGGAAAATGGCCCACTTCCCACTGGCGAAAACTCATGAAATTTGGCAGGACGACCGGGCCTGGTGAAAAATTCGATATTCTGAAGTCGCCCAAACAATAAAATGCAAAATGGCTCCATAGCGCCCCCTAAGGTGGAAATTCACACTATTGACTGTCACGCCTGTACGCTTTGTCATATTGACACAAAAATTGACACACATATGTATCTCAATAAGATCTACAAAAAAGTCAGTGCGGCCGTATCTGTCAAATGTACGGTTAAAGGGTTATTTCGCATTTTTTTCCGATCCGCACACATTGGAATTTCGCTAACTCCTCCGAAGGCTTTCGTTCCACCGGCACCACATTTGCTCAGGCCAATCTACACCCCGTGGCCATTAAAAGTTATCAAAATCATGACGCTGCACCCCAAGGTTTAGGTTCTAGGGGGCGCCAAAGATAACACTAAAATCCACATATTTAAAAGTCTTATAACTTTTTATTTTTGTCCTCACTGGCCTCCAAGTTTTCTAGGATGATGCAATGTCCAGCCATCAACACATTTGTGAAGGAATTTTTACTCCCCAAAAGAGCGCCCCCCCATGGCAGGAGAAAAAAGTCAATTTTTTCTTGTCCCCTAAGGTGAAAATACACATTGTTGAGTGTCACGCCTATACGCTTTGTCAAAATGACACAAAAATTGACACACACATGTAACTCAATAAGATCTACGAAAAAGTCAATGCGCGCGTATCTGTCAAATGTACGGTTAAAGGGTTATTCCGCATTTTTTGCCGATCCGCACACATTGGAATGTGGCTAACTCCTCCTAAGGCTTTCGTTCCACCGGCACCACATTTGCTCAGGCCAATCTACACCCCATGGCCATTAAAATTTATCAAAATCATGACGCTGCACCCCACGGTTTAGGTTCTAGGGGGCGCCAAAGATAACCCTAAAATCCACATATTTAAAAGTCTTATAACTTTTTATTTTTTTCCCTCACTGGCCTCCAAGTTTTCTAGGATGATGCAATGTCCAGCCATCAACACATTTGTGAAGGAATTTTTACTCCCCAAAAGAGCGCCCCCCCATGGCAGGAGAAAAAAGTCCATTTTTTCTTGTCCCTTAAGGTGAAAATACATATTGTTGAGATTCACGCCTATACGCTTTGTCATATTGACACAAAATTTGACAATCACGTGCCTTGCCTGGTATCATTTTTTTCAGCACAACCTCACCTGTGCGAATTTACAGTTATTTTATCATGTTGACATACTGAATTTACACAATGGACCCAAATTCACACACAAAACATAAAATCCGAGTGGAAAAAAGTAACATTTTTACTGTGAAAACCACAAATATGTGTGATGAACTGTTTTCAAAACTTAAACTTCAAATAAAAATTGTAAACTTCAAAACATATGCAAATTTTTAACAAAGAACATAGTGATTTACCTCTATTTACATCAAAATGCAGGCAATGGCCCAGGCGTTCTTTGTAAAATTATTTACAAAACACTGTATAGTCTCACAAATGTCACTTTTTATTTATGCCACTACAAAAAAACATGATGTAAATGATGCATGATGTAAAACATGATGTAAAAAACTTGTGTAGATCCTCCTCTATGTCAGTCCATGTGTAATTTTTCCATAATTCTTTGTTTTTTGCAGCATTTTTGTTAGTGTAACTGCAGATTGTGCTGACAGTGTCTATGGCACAAAAAAAAGAAAAAATTAAAATGCCTCAACATGAACCCCTGGTGGTCTCTGAGGGTGAAACCTGCTAACTGCTGCAGCTCTGTCAGCTTCAGTCTCCCATGCAGAGCTCTGAGCGCATGTGTGGCTCTGCACCCTTAGCAGCGTTGCTAACTCCTCAGTAAGGAAAGCCTGCTTCATGTCAGAGTCTCTAAACTCCAGAAGAAGTCGATAAAAGTCACTTTCTTTCTAAAAAAAAGTCGTTAGGGGGTCTGAAAAGTCATTGAATCTAACAACAAAGTCGCTAGGTTTGCAACTACGTGTCCCAGACTGCATCCCTGCTGAGAGTCCCTCCCTCCCTTCTCATGTTGCAGGAAGAACGTAAGCGCCCGCCCCTTGTCAATCAGTCACCATATAATTTTGGATTGGTTGTTGTGGTGAAGTTTTCCACCAATAGGAGAGATGTTGTGGTGTGTTTTTTTTTTCTTTTGGCAAGCCTTTTCCGCCTGTAAGACCTGTCGCTAATGTGTGCATGCTATGTTTTCCTGTCTCATACAGCGCGATCGAGCGCCGAACGTGATCAAAATAAGCAGAAAAAAAGTATCGCGGACATAATTTATCATAACTCTGGTTTTATTTGGCCTATCAACACAATTTAAAAACTGGTATATAGGTTGAGGTCCTCACTTTTGAGATAAGTTGAAACGGAGAGTTAACGAGGCTCCGTCTTGCAGCTACATCCGGTTAAATATGTCATGTGACTTGAACGCTGGGGAGCGTCAATCGAATCGAATCAAACCTAACTCTCAGATGAATCTTCAAAATTCACCTCAGAAATATGCTTATTATTCTTCTCAGAGTACTGCAGGATACACACACACAGACACACAGACACACACACACACACACACACACACACACACACACACACACTCAGAGTCTGTTTTTTAGCACCTGCAAAAACATGCTATTTACATATTTGACAAGAATGCAGAGGCTTCCTTTTGCCCCTGAAAAAAATCAAATTTCAAACACAACTTGACTGCTCATTTCTCCAAAAGACAACCATGAAGCTCCATCCAAACCTGAAGCAGGCAGTTGGTGCATGTGTACAGTAACCTGAGGGGAGTGAGGTGACTGCTTCTGAGGAGAACATGAGCAGTGAAGATTCACCTTGGAGCTAGAACAGGGACGTGCACATGATAATACAGGGGCAGGGGCTCAAGTTTTTTCCAGTGGTTTATACAATATGGAAATTAATGTGAAATTAAAAAACAAAGTATGACTGTCCCCGTGTAGGTGACAGTGATATCCAATAGGCTAGGCACTCACGAGGCTGGCTGTGGCAAGTGTAAGTGAAAGCAACACGCACTGGCAGGAAGAACAGCAAACGCCGATGAAGGAAAAGGGTCTTTGCAGTGATGGGCGTTACCAGAGAGGGCGATGGCCAGAGGACATGAATGTGACGGGGAGGCAGCGCGTTGGGGGGGGGGTGCGACACGGCTCGGGCCCGCCAGTGCCCCAACGGGGCCCTAGTTAGGGCCCGAGCGTAGCTGCTAAGCAGCTGCGAGAGCCCTATTATTCCTGATGGATTCTTCTTTAGGGCCCGAGCGTAGCTGCTAAGCAGCTGCGAGAGCCCTCTTGTTAGGGCCCGAGCGTAGCTGCTAAGCAGCTGCGAGAGCCCTCTTGTTCCTGATGGATTCTTCTTTTGTTATTATTATTATTTTTCCTCCGCTTTAAACTGGAAAATGGCCGACTTCCCACTGGCGAAAACTCATGAAATTTGGCAGGACGACCGGGCCTGGTGAAAAATTCGATATTCTGAAGTCGCCCAAACAATAAAATGCAAAATGGCTCCATAGCGCCCCCTAAGGCGAAAATTCACACTATTGACTGTCACGCCTGTACGCTTTGTCATATTGACACAAAAATTGACACACACGTGTATCTCAATACGTTCTACGAAAAAGTCAGCGCGGGCGCATCTGTGAAATGTACAGTTAGAGGGTTATTTCGCATTTTTTGCCGATCTGCACACATTGGAATTTCGCTAACTCCTCCGAAGGCATTCGTTCCACCGGCACCACATTTGCTCAGGCCAATCTACACCCCATGGCCATTAAAAGTTGTACAAATCATGACGCTGCACCCCACAGTTTACGTTCTAGGGGGCGCCAAAGATAACCCTAAAATCCACAGTCTTAAAAGTCTTATAACTTTTTATTTTTGTCCTCACTGGCCTCCAAGTTCTCTAGGATGATGCAATGTCCAGCCATCAACACATTTGTGAAGGAATTTTTACTCCCCAAAAGAGCGCCCCCACATGGCAGGAGAAAAAAGTCCATTTTTTCTTGTCCCCTAAGTTGAAAAAACACATTGTTGACTGTCACGCCTATACGCTTTGTCAAAATGACACAAAATTTGACAATCACATGTATCTCAATAAGATCTACGAAAAAGTCAATGGGCACGTATCTGTAAAATGTATGGTTAAAGGGTTATTCCGCATTTTTTGCCGATCCGCACACATTGGAATGTCGCTAACTCCTCCGAAGGCTTTAGTTCCACCGGCACCAAATTTGCTCAGGCCAATCTACACCCCATGGCCATTAAAAGTTGTACAAATCATGACGCTGCACTCCACGATTTAGGTTCTAGGGGGCGCCAAAGATAACCCAAAAATCCACATTCTTAATAGTCTTATAACTTTTTATTTTTGTCCTCACTGGCCTCCAAGTTTTCTAGGATGATGCAATGTCCAGCCATCAACACATTTGTAAAGGAATTTTTACTCCCGAAAAGAGCGCCCCCCCATAGCAGGAGAAAAAAGTCCATTTTTTCTTGTCCCCTAAGTTGAAAAAACACATTGTTGACTGTCACGCCTATACGCTTTGTCAAAATGACACAAAATTTGACACACACGTGTATCTCAATAAGATCTACGAAAGAGTCAATGGGCACGTATCTGTAAAATGTACGGTTAGAGGGTTATTTCGCATTTTTTGCAGATCTGCACACATTGGAATTTCGCTAACTCCTCCTTAGGCTTTCTTCCCACCGACACCAAATTTGCTCAAGCCGATCTACATCCCATGGCCATTCAAAGTTGTAAAAATCATGACGCTAAACCCAACGGTTTACGTTCTAGGGGGCGCCAAAGATGACCCAAATATCCACATTCTTAAAAGAATCCCCCCCCCCCCAAGGCAGGAGAAAAAGTCAAGTTAACCCTGCCCATCGCTCAATGGCTCAATCGCATCGCTCTCCGGGCAACACCGTAAGGAGGAGCAACTTGCCATTTGGATATATCCTAGCTGTGTTTGTGCCCTCACTCATGGTCCAGACTTTTTTCAAATAGGACATGTAGTTTGTCTGCAGCCAGCGTTTTGGTAGAAACTGCGCCTCCCATTCATTATAATGGGAAATGACCACAGACAAGTGCGCACACCATCTTTGGACCTTGAGTGTGACGCGATCGGGAGGGGGAGGCGTCGCGCTGGAGGCGGCGCGACGCGGCTCGGGCCCGACAGTGCCCCACCGGGGCCCTAGTTCCTGCATGTTTCCTTCTTTCGTTATTATTTTTCCTCCGCTTTAAACTGGAAAATGGCCCACTTCCCACTGGCGAAAACTCAGGAAATTTGGCAGGACGACCGGGCCTGGTGAAAAATTCGATATTCTGAAGTCGCCCAAACAATAAAATGCAAAATGGCTCCATAGCGCCCCCTAAGGTGAAAATTCACATGACGGCTGTACGCTTTGTCATATTGACACAAAAATTGACACACACATGTATCTCAATAAGATCTATAAAAAAGTCAGTACGGGCGTATCTGTCAAATGTACGGTTAATGGGTTATTTTGCATTTTTTGCAGATCTGCACACATTGGAATTTCGCTAACTCCTCCGAAGGCTTTCGTTCGACCGGCACCACATTTGCGCAGGCCAATCTACCCCCCATGGCCATTAAAAGTTGTACAAATCATGACGATGCACCCCACGGTTTACGTTCTAGGGGGCGCCAAAGATAACCCAAAATCCACATTCTTAAAAGTCTTATAACTTTTTATTTTTGTCCTCACTGCCCTCCAAGTTTTCTAGGATGATGCAATGTCCAGCCATCAACACATTTGTGAAGGAATTTTTACTCCCCAAAAGAGCGCCCCCCCATGGCAGGAGAAAAAAGTCAATTTTTTCTTGTCCCCTTACATGAAAATACACATTGTTGAGTGTCATGCCTGAACGCTTTGTCATATTGACACAAAAATTGACAATCACGTGTATCTCAATTAGATCTACGAAAAAGTCAAAAAGCGCGTATCTGTATAATGTACGGTTAAAGGGCTATTTCGCATTTTTTGCCGATTCGCACACATTGGAATGTGGCTATCTCCTCCTAAGGCTTTCGTCCCACCGATACCAAATTTGCTCAGGGCAATCTACACCCCATGCCCATTCAAAGTTGTAAAAATCATGACGCTGCACCCCACGGTTTACGTTCTAGGGGGCACCAAAGATGACCCAAAAATCCACATTCTTAAAAGTCATTTTGGCCACTGCAGGAGTACAGAGTACTGCAGTTCTAGGGGGCGCCAAAGATGACCCAAAAATCCACATTCTTAAAAGTCTTTTTGGCCACTGCAGGAGTACAGAGTACTGCAGGATACACACACATATACACACACACACACACACACACACACACACACACACACACACACACACTCAGAGTCTGTTTTTTAGCACCTGCAAAAACATGCTGTTTACATATTTGACAAGAATGCAGAGGCTTCCTTTTGCCCCTGAAAAAAATCAGATTTCAAACACAACTTGACTGTTCATTTCTCCAAAAGACAACCATGAAGCTCCATCCAAACCTGAAGCAGATAGTTGGTGCATGTGTACAGTAACCTGAGGGGAGTGAGGTGACTATTTCTGAGGAGAACATGAGCAGTGAAGATTCACCTTGGAGCTAGAACAGGGACGTGCACATGATAATACAGGGGCAGGGGCTCAAGTTTTTTCCAGTCATTTATACAATATGGAAATTAATGTGAAATTAAAACACAAATATGTGTGATGAACTGTTTTTAAAACTTAAACTTCAAATAAAAATTGTAAACTTCAAAACATATGCAAATTTTTAACAAAGAACATAGTAATTTACCTCTATTTACATCAAAATGCAGGCAATGGCCCAGGCGTTCTTTGTAAAATTATTTACAAAACACTGTATAGTCTCACAAATGTCACTTTTTATTTATGCCACTACAAAAAAACATGATGTAAATGATGCATGATGTAAAACATGATGTAAAAAACTTGTGTAGATCCTCCTCTATGTCAGTCCATGTGTAATTTTTCCATAATTCTTTGTTTTTTGCAGCATTTTTGTTAGTGTAACTGCAGATTGTGCTGACAGTGTCTATGGCACAAAAAAAAGAAAAAATTAAAATGCCTCAACATGAACCCCTGGTGGTCTCTGAGGGTGAAACCTGCTAACTGCTGCAGCTCTGTCAGCTTCAGTCTCCCATGCAGAGCTCTGAGCGCATGTGTGGCTCTGCACCCTTAGCAGCGTTGCTAACTCCTCAGTAAGGAAAGCCTGCTTCATGTCAGAGTCTCTAAACTCCAGAAGAAGTCGATAAAAGTCCCTTTCTTTCTAAAAAAAAGTCGTTAGGGGGTCTGAAAAGTCATTGAATCTAACAACAAAGTCGCTAGGTTTGCAACTACGTGTCCCAGACTGCATCCCTGCTGAGAGTCCCTCCCTCCCTTCTCATGTTGCAGGAAGAACGTAAGCGCCCGCCCCTTGTCAATCAGTCACCATATAATTTTGGATTGGTTGTTGTGGTGAAGTTTTCCACCAATAGGAGAGATGTTGTGGTGTGTTTTTTTTTTCTTTTGGCAAGCCTTTTCCGCCTGTAAGACCTGTCGCTAATGTGTGCATGCTATGTTTTCCTGTCTCATACAGCGCGATCGAGCGCCGAACGTGATCAAAATAAGCAGAAAAAAAGTATCGCGGACATAATTTATCATAACTCTGGTTTTATTTGGCCTATCAACACAATTTAAAAACTGGTATATAGGTTGAGGTCCTCACTTTTGAGATAAGTTGAAACGGAGAGTTAACGAGGCTCCGTCTTGCAGCTACATCCGGTTAAATATGTCATGTGACTTGAACGCACACATAGACACACACACACTCACACACACACACACACACACACACACACACACACACACACTCAGAGTCTGGTTTTTAGCACCTGCAAAAACATGCTATTTACATATTTGACAAGAATGCAGAGGCTCCTTTTGCCCCTGAAAAAAATCAAATTTCAAACACAACTTGACTGGTCATTTCTCCAAAAGACAACCATGAAGCTCCATCCAAACCTGAAGCAGGCAGTTGGTGCATGTGTACAGTAACCTGAGGGGAGTGAGGTGAGTGCTTCTGAGGAGAACATGAGCAGTGAAGATTCACCTTGGAGCTAGAACAGAGACATGCACATGATTATACAGGGGCAGGGGCTCAAGTTTTTTCCAGTCGTTTATAAAATATGGAAATTAATGTGAAATTAAAACACAAAGTATTAATAGAAAGGTAATGACTGTCCTGTGTAGGTGACAGTGATATCCAATAGGCTAGGCACTCACGAGGCTGGCTGTGGCAAGTGTAAGTGAAAGCAACACGCACTGGCAGGAAGAACAGCAAACGCCGATGAAGGAAAAGGGTCTTTGCAGTGATGGGCGTTACCAGAGAGGGCGATGGCCAGAGGACACAAATGGGACGGGGAGGCAGCGCGTTGGGGGGGGGGGCGACACGGCTCGGGCCCGCCAGTGCCCCAACGGGGTCCTAGTTAGGGCCCGAGCGTAGCTGCTAAGCAGCTGCGAGAGCCCTATTATTCCTGATGGATTCTTCTTTCTTCTTCTTATTATTATTATTTTTCTGCCCCTTTGAACTGGAAAATGGCCCACTTCCCACTGGTGAAAAGTCATGAAATTTGGCAGGACGACCGGGCCTGGTGAAAAATTCGATATTCTGAAGTCGCCCAAAAAATCAAATGCAAAATGGCTCCATAGCGCCCCCTAAGGTGAAAAATTCACATGATTGAGTGTCACGCCTGTACGCTTTGTCAAAATGACACAAAATTTGACACACACGTGTATCTCAATAAGATCTACAAAAAAGTCAGTGCGGGCGTATCTGTCAAATGTACGGTTAAAGGGCTATTTCGCATTTTTTGCCGATCCGCACACATTGGAATTTCGCTAACTCCTCCAAAGGCTTTCGTTCCACCGGCACCAAATTTGCTCAGGCCAATCTACACCCCATGGCCATTAAAAGTTGTACAAATCATGACGCTGCATCCCACGGTTTACGTTCTAGGGGGCGCCAAAGATAACCCAGAAATCCACATTCTTAAAAGTCGTATAACTTTTTATTTTTGTCCTCACTGGCCTCCAAGTTTTCTAGGATGATGCAATGTCCAGCCATCAACACATTTGTGAAGGAATTTTTACTCCCCAAAAGAGCGCCCCCCCATGGCAGGAGAAAAAAGTCCATTTTTTCTTGTCTCCTAAGGCGAAAATTCACACTATTGACTGTCACGCCTTTACGCTTTGTCATATTGACACAAAAATTGACACACACATGTATCTCAATAAGATCTACAAAAAAGTCAGTGCGGGCGTATCTGTCAAATGTACGGTGAAAGGGCTATTTCGCATTTTTTGCCGATCCGCACACATTGGAATTTCGCTAACTCCTCCGAAGGCTTTCGTTCCAAAGGCACCACATTTGCTGAGGCCAATCTACACCCCATGGCCATTAAAAGTTGTACAAATCATGACGCTGCACCCCACGGTTTACGTTCTAGGGGGCGCCAAAGATAACCCAAAAATCCACAGTCTTAAAAGTCTTATAACTTTTTATTTTTGTCCTCACTGGCCTCCAAGTTCTCTAGGATGATGCAATGTCCAGCCATCAACACATTTGTGAAGGAATTTTTACTCGCCAAAAGAGCGCCCCCCCCATGGCAGGAGAAAAAAGTCCATTTTTTCTTGTCTCCTAAGGCGAAAATACACATTGTTGACTGTCACGCCTATACGCTTTGTCAAAATGACACAAAATTTGACACACACATGTATCTCAATAAGATCTACAAAAAAGTCAGTGCGGGCGTATCTGTCAAATGTACGGTTAAAGGGTTATTTCGCATTTTTCTCCGATCCGCACACATTGGAATTTCGCTAACTCCTCCTAAATCTTTTGTCCCATCGGCTTCAAATTTGCTCAGGTCAATCTACACCCCATGGCCATTCAAAGTAATACAACTCATGACGCTGCACCCCACAGTTTACGTTCTAGGGGGCGCCAAAGAGGACCCAAATATCCACATTTTTAAAAGTCTTATAACTTTTTATTTTTGTCCTCACTGGCCTCCAAGTTTTCTAGGATGATGCAATGTCCAGCCATCAACACATTTGTGAAGGAATTTTTTCTCCCCAAAAGAGCGCCCCCCCCATGGCAGGAGAAAAAGTCAAGTTTTTCCTGCCCATCGCTCAATGGCTCAAACGCATCGCTCTCTCTGCAAAACCGAAAGGAGGAGCAACTTGCCATTTGGATATATACTAGCTGTGTTTGTGCCCTCACTCATGGTCCAGACTTTTTTCAAATAGGACATGTAGTTTGTCTGCAGCGAGCGTTTTGGTAGAAACTGCGCCTCCCATTCATTATAATGGGAAATGACCACAGACAAGTGCGCACACCATCTTTGGACCTTGAGTGTGACGCGATCGGGAGGGGGAGGCGGTCGCGCTGGGGGCGGCGCGACGCGGCTCGGGCCCGACAGTGCCCCACCGGGGCCCTAGTTCTTCTTCTTCTTATTAGGGCCCGAGCGTAGCTGCTAAGCAGCTGCGAGAGCCCTATTATTCCCCAAGTGGTTTTTCTTTGTTTCTTTTTTCTTTTTCCTCCCCTTTGAACTGGAAAATGGCCCACTTCCCACTGGCGAAAACTCATGAAATTTGGCAGGACGACCGGGCCTGGTGAAAAATTTGATATTCTGAAGTCGCCCAAACAATACAATGCAAAATGGCTCCATAGCGCCCCCTAAGGTGAAAAATTCACCTGACGCCTGTACGCTTTGTCAAAATGACACAAAAATTGACACACACATGTATCTCAATAAGATCTACAAAAAAGTCAGTGCGGGCGTATCTGTCAAATGTACGGTTAAAGGGTTATTGCGCATTTTTTGCCGATCCGCACACATTGGAATTTCGCTAACTCCTCCGAAGGCTTTCGTTCCACCGGCACCACATTTGCTCAGGCCAATCTACACCCCATGGCCATTAAAAGTTATTCAAATCATGACGCTGCACCCCACGGTTTAGGTTCTAGGGGGCGCCAAAGATAACCCTAAAATCCACATATTTAAAAGTCTTATAACTTTTTATTTTTGTCCTCTCTGGCCTCCAAGTTTTCTAGGATGATGCAATGTCCAGCCATCAACACATTTGTGAAGGAATTTTTACTCCCCAAAAGAGCGCCCCCCCATGGCAGGAGAAAAAAGTCCATTTTTTCTTGTCCCATAAGGTGAAAATTCACACTATTGACTGTCACGCCTGTACGCTTTGTCAAAATTACACAAAAATTGACACACACATGTATCTCAATAAGATCTACAAAAAAGTCAGTGCGGGCGTATCTGTCAAATGTACGGTTAAAGGGTTATTGCACATTTTTTGGCGATCCGCACACATTGGAATTTCGCTAACTCCTCCGAAGGCTTTCGTTCCACCGGCACCACATTTGCTCAGGCCAATCTACACCCCATGGCCATTAAAAGTTATTCAAATCATGACGCTGCACCCCACGGTTTAGGTTCTAGGGGGCGCCAAAGATAACCCTAAAATCCACATATTTAAAAGTCTTATAACTTTTTATTTTTGTCCTCTCTGGCCTCCAAGTTTTCTAGGATGATGCAATGTCCAGCCATCAACACATTTGTGAAGGAATTTTTACTCCCCAAAAGAGCGCCCCCCCATGGCAGGAGAAAAAAGTCCATTTTTTCTTGTCCCATAAGGTGAAAATACACATTGTTGACTGTCATACCTGTATGCTTTGTCATATTGACACAAAATTTGACACACACATGTATCTCAATAAGATCTACGAAAAAGTCAATGCGCGCGTATCTGTAAAATGTACGGTTAAAGGGCTATTTTGCATTTTTTGCCGATTAGCACACATTGGAATGTGGCTAACTCCTCCTAAGACTTTCATCCCACTGACACCAAATTTGCTCAGGCCAATCTACACCCCATGGCCATTCAAAGTTTTAAAAATCATGACGCTTCACCCCACGGTTTACGTTCTAGGGGGCGCCAAAGAGGACCCAAATATCCACATTCTTAAAAGAATCCACATCCCCCCCCCCCCATCCCCCATCCCCCATGGCAGGAGAAACAGTCAAGTTTTTCCTGCCCATCACTCAATGGCTCAATCGCATCGCTCTCCCGGCAACACCGTAACGAGGAGCAACTTGCCGTTTGGATATATCCTAGCTGTGTTTGTGCCCTCACTCATGGTCCAGACTTTTTTCAAATAGGACATGTAGTTTGTCTGCAGCGAGTGTTTTGGTAGAAACTGCGCCTCCCATTCATTATAATGGGAAATGACCACAGACAAGTGCGCACACCATCTTTGGACCTTGAGTGTGACGCGATCGGGAGGGGGAGGCGGTCGCACTGGGGGCGGCGCAACGCGGCTCGGGCCCGCCAGTGCCCCAACGGGGCCCTAGTTATTATTTTTCTGCCCCTTTGAACTGGAAAATGGCCCACTTCCCACTGGTGAAAAGTCATGAAATTTGGCAGGACGACCGGGCCTGGTGAAAAATTCGATATTCTGAAGTTGCCCAAAAAATCAAATGCAAAATGGCTCCATAGCGCCCCCTAAGGTGAAAAATTCACATGATTGAGTGTCACGCCTGTACGCTTTGTCAAAATGACACAAAATTTGACACACACGTGTATCTCAATAAGATCTACAAAAAAGTCAATGCGGGCGTATCTGTCAAATGTACGGTGAAAGGGCTATTTCGCATTTTTTGCCGATCCGCACACATTGGAATTTCGCTAACTCCTCCGAAGGCTTTCGTTCCAAAGGCACCACATTTGCTGAGGCCAATCTACACCCCATGGCCATTAAAAGTTGTACAAATCATGACGCTGCACCCCACGGTTTACGTTCTAGGGGGCGCCAAAGATAACCCAAAAATCCACAGTCTTAAAAGTCTTATAACTTTTTATTTTTGTCCTCACTGGCCTCCAAGTTCTCTAGGATGATGCAATGTCCAGCCATCAACACATTTGTGAAGGAATTTTTACTAGCCAAAAGAGCGCCCCCCATGGCAGGAGAAAAAAGTCAATTTTTTCTTGTCTCCTAAGGCGAAAATACACATTGTTGACTGTCACGCCTTTACGCTTTGTCAAAATGACACAAAATTTGACACACACATGTATCTCAATAAGATCTACAAAAAAGTCAGTGCGGGCGTATCTGTCAAATGTACGGTTAAAGGGTTATTTCGCATTTTTTGCCGATCCGCACACATTGGAATTTCGCTAACTCCTCCTAAATCTTTTGTCCCATCGGCTTCAAATTTGCTCAGGTCAATCTACACCCCATGGCCATTCAAAGTTGTACAAATCATGACGCTGCACCCCACAGTTTACGTTCTAGGGGGCGCCAAAGAGGACCCAAATATCCACATTTTTAAAAGTCTTATAACTTTTTATTTTTGTCCTCACTGGCCTCCAAGTTTTCTAGGATGATGCAATGTCCAGCCATCAACACATTTGTGAAGGAATTTTTCTCCCCAAAAGAGCGCCCCCCATGGCAGGAGAAAAAGTCAAGTTTTTCCTGCCCATCGCTCAATGGCTCAAACGCATCGCTCTCTCTGCAAAACCGAAAGGAGGAGCAACTTGCCATTTGGATATATACTAGCTGTGTTTGTGCCCTCACTCATGGTCCAGACTTTTTTCAAATAGGACATGTAGTTTGTCTGCAGCGAGCGTTTTGGTAGAAACTGCGCCTCCCATTCATTATAATGGGAAATGACCACAGACAAGTGCGCACACCATCTTTGGACCTCGAGTGTGACGCGATCGGGAGGGGGAGGCGGTCGCGCTGGGGGCGGCGCGACGCGGCTCGGGCCCGACAGTGCCCCACCGGGGCCCTAGTTAGGGCCCGAGCGTAGCTGCTAAGCAGCTGCGAGAGCCCTATTATTCCTGATGGATTCTTCTTTCTTCTTCTTCTTCTTATTATTTTTCTGCCCCTTTGAACTGGAAAATGGCCCACTTCCCACTGGTGAAAAGTCATGAAATTTGGCAAGACGACCGGGCCTGGTGAAAAATTTGATATTCTGAAGTCGCCCAAAAAATCAAATGCAAAATGGCTCCATAGCGCCCCCTAAGGTGAAAAATTCACATGATTGAGTGTCACGCCTGTACGCTTTGTCAAAATGACACAAAATTTGACACACACGTGTATCTCAATAAGATCTACAAAAAAGTCAGTGCGGGCGTATCTGTCAAATGTACGGTTAAAGGTTTATTTCGCATTTTTTGCCGATCCGCACACATTTGAATTTCGCTAACTCCTCCGAAGGTTTTCGTTCCACCGGCACCACATTTGCTCAGGCCAATCTACACCCCATGGCCAATAAAAGTTGTACAAATCATGACGCTGCACCCCACGGTTTACGTTCTAGGGGGCGCCAAAGATAACCCAAAAATCCACAGTCTTAAAAGTCTTATAACTTTTTATTTTTGTCCTCACTGGCCTCCAAGTTCTCTAGGATGATGCAATGTCCAGCCATCAACACATTTGTGAAGGAATTTTTACTCGCCAAAAGAGCGCCCCCCCATGGCAGGAGAAAAATGTCCATTTTTTCTTGTCTCCTAAGGCGAAAATACACATTGTTGACTGTCACGCCTTTACGCTTTGTCAAAATGACACAAAATTTGACACACACATGTATCTCAATAAGATCTACAAAAAAGTCAGTGCGGGCATATCTGTCAAATGTACGGTTAAAGGGTTATTTCGCATTTTTTGCCGATCCGCACACATTGGAATTTCGCTAACTCCTCCGAAGGCTTTCATTCCAACGGCACCACATTTGCTCAGGCCAATCTACACCCCATGGCCATTAAAAGTTGTACAAATCATGACGCTGCACCCCACGGTTTACGTTCTAGGGGGCGCCAAAGATAACCCAAAAATCCACAGTCTTAAAAGTCTTATAACTTTTTATTTTTGTCCTCACTGGCCTCCAAGTTCTCTAGGATGATGCAATGTCCAGCCATCAACACATTTGTGAAGGAATTTTTACTCGCCAAAAGAGCGCCCCCCATGGCAGGAGAAAAAAGTCCATTTTTTCTTGTCTCCTAAGGCGAAAATACACATTGTTGACTGTCACGCCTTTACGCTTTGTCAAAATGACACAAAATTTGACACACACATGTATCTCAATAAGATCTACGAAAAAGTCAATGCGAGCGTATCTGTTCAATGTACGGTTAAAGGGCTATTTCGCATTTTTTGCCGATTCGCACACATTGGAATGTGGCTAACTCCTCCTAAAGCTTTTGTCCCATCGGCTTCAAATTTGCTCAGGTCAATCTACACCCCATGGCCATTCAAAGTTGTACAAATCATGATGCTGCACCCCACGGTTTACGTTCTAGGGGGTGCCAAAGAGGACCCAAATATCCACATTTTTAAAAGTCTTATAACTTTTTATTTTTGTCCTCACTGGCCTCCAAGTTTTCTAGGATGATGCAATGTCCAGCCATCAACACATTTGTGAAGGAATTTTTTCTCCCCAAAAGAGCGCCCCCCATGGCAGGAGAAAAAGTCAAGTTTTTCCTGCCCATCGCTCAATGGCTCAAACGCATCGCTCTCTCGGCAAAACCGAAAGGAGGAGCAACTTGCCATTTGGATATATCCTAGCTGTGTTTATGCCCTCACTCATGGTCCAGACTTTTTTCAAAAAGGACATGGAGTTTGTCTGCAGCGAGCATTTTGGTAGAAACTGCGCCTCCCATTCATTATAATGGTAAATGACCACAGACGAGTGCGCACACCATCTTTGGACCTTGAGTGTGACGCGATCAAGAGGGGTAGGCGGTCGCGCTGGGGGCGGCGCGACACGGCTCGGGCCCGCCAGTGCCCCAACGGGGCCCTAGTTTCTTCTTCTTCTTCTTATTTTTCTGCCACTTTGAACTGGAAAATGGCCCACTTCCCACTGGTGAAAACTCATGAAATTTGGCAGGACGACCGGGCCTGGTGAAAAATTCGATATTCTGAAGTCGCCCAAACAATCAAATGCAAAATGGCTCCATAGCGCCCCCTAATGTGAAAAATTCACATGATTGAGTGTCAAGCCTGTACGCTTTGTCAAAATGACACAAAATTTGACATACACGTGTATCTCAATAAGATCTACAAAAAAGTCAGCGCGGGCGTATCTGTCAAATGTACGGTTAAAGGGCTATTCCGCATTTTTTGCCGATCCGCACACATTGGAATTTCGCTAACTCCTCCGAAGGCTTTCGTTCCACCGGCACCAAATTTGCTCAGGCCAATCTACACCCCATGGCCATTAAAAATTGTACAAATCATGACGCTGCACCCCACGATTTACGTTCTAGGGGGCGCCAAAGATAACCCGAAAATCCACATTCTTAAAAGTCTTATAACTTGTTATTTTTGTTCTCACTGGCCTCCAAGTTTTCTAGGATGATGCAATGTCCAGCCATCAACACATTTGTGAAGGAATTTTTACTCCCCAAAAGATCCCCCCCCCCCCATGGCAGGAGAAAAAAGTCCATTTTTTCTTGTCCCCTAAGGTGAAAATACATATTGTTGAGTGTCACGCCTATACGCTTTGTCATATTGACACACAATTTGACACACACGTGTATCTCAATAAGATCTACAAAAAAGTCAGTGCGGGAGTATCTGTCAAATGTACGGTTAAAGGGCTATTTCGCATTTTTTGCCGATCCGCACACATTGGAATTTCGCTAACTCCTCCGAAGGCTTTCGTTCCAACGGCACCACATTTGCTCAGGCCAATCTACACCCCATGGCCATTAAAAATTGTACAAATCATGACGCTGCACCCCACGGTTTAGGTTCTAGGGGGCGCCAAAGATAACCCAAAAATCCACATTCTTAAAAGTCTTATAACTTTTTATTTTTGTCCTCACTGGCCTCGAAGTTTTCTAGGATGATGCAATGTCTAGCCATCAACACATTTGTGAAGGAATTTTTACTCCCTAAAAGAGCTCCCCCCCATTGCAGGAGAAAAAAGTCCATTTTTTCTTGTCCCCTAAGGTGAAAATACATATTGTTGAGTGTCACGCCTATACGCTTTGTCATATTGACACAAAATTTGACACACACGTGTATCTCAATAAGATCTACAAAAAAGTCAGTGCGGGAGTATCTGTCAAATGTACGGTTAAAGGGCTATTTCGCATTTTTTGCCGATCCGCACACATTGGAATTTCGCTAACTCCTCCGAAGGCTTTCGTTCCACCGGCACCAAATTTGCTCAAGCCAATCTACACCCCATGGCCATTAAAAGTTGTACAAATCATGACGCTGCACCCCACGGTTTAGGTTCTAGGGGGCGCCAAAGATAACCCAAAAATCCACATTCTTTAGTCTTATAACTTTTTATTTTTGTCCTCACTGGCCTCGAAGTTTTCTAGGATGATGCAATGTCTAGCCATCAACACATTTGTGAAGGAATTTTTACTCCCTAAAAGAGCTCCCCCCCATTGCAGGAGAAAAAGTCAAGTTTTTCCTGCCCATCGCTCAATGGCTCAAACACATCGCTCTCTCGGCAAAACCGAAAGGAGGAGCAACTTGCCATTTGGATATATCCTAGCTGTGTTTGTGCCCTCACTCATGGTCCAGACTTTTTTCAAATAGGACATGTAGTTTGTCTGCAGCGAGCGTTTTGGTAGAAACTGCGCCTCCCATTCATTATAATGGTAAATGACCACAGACAAGTGCGCACGCCATCTTTGGACCTTGAGTGTGACGCGATCGGGAGGGAGAGGCGGTCGTGCTGGGGGCAGCGCGACACAGCTCGGGCCCGCCAGTGTCCCAACGGGGCCCTAGTTAGGGCCCGAGCATAGCTGCTAAGCAGCTGCGAGAGCCCTCTTGTTCCTGATGGATTCTTCTTTCTTCTTCTTCTTCTTTTTCTTCTTCTTATTAGGGCCCGAGCCAGCTGCAGAGCAGCCGGGCGTAGAGCCCTATTGTTCCCCAGGTGGTTTTTCTTTGTTTCTTTCTTTCTTTCTTTCTTTCTTTCTTTAGGGCCCGAGCATAGCTGCTAAGCAGCTGCGAGAGCCCTCTTGTTCCTGATGGATTCTTCTTTTTTGGGCCTGAGCGTAGCTGCTAAGCAGCTGCGAGGCCCTATTATTCCTGTAGTGGTTTTTCTTTGTTTCTTTAGGGCCCGAGCGTAGCTGCTAAGCAGCTGCGAGAGCCCTCTTGTTCCTGTAGTTTCCTTCTTTAGGGCCCGAGCGTAGCTGCTAAGCAGCTCCGAGAGCCCTATTATTCCCCAAGTGGTTTTTCTTTGTTTCTTTCTTTCTTTCTTTCTTCTTTTTCCTCCCCTTTGAACTGGAAAATGGCCCACTTCCCACTGGCGAAAACTCATGAAATTTGGCAGGACGACCGGGCCTGGTGAAAAATTCGATATTCTGAAGTCGCCCAAATAATAAAATGCAAAATGGCTCCATAGCGCCCCCTAAGGTGGAAATTCACACTATTGACTGTCACGCCTGTACGCTTTGTCATATTGACACAAAAATTGACACACATATGTATCTCAATAAGATCTACAAAAAAGTCAGTGCGGGCGTATCTGTCAAATGTACGGTTAAAGGGTTATTCCGCATTTTTTGCCGATCCGCACACATTGGAATTTCGCTAACTCCTCCGAAGGCTTTCGTTCCACCGGCACCACATTTACTCAGGCCAATCTACACCCCATGGCCATTAAAAGTTATTCAAATCATGACGCTGCACCCCACGGTTTAGGTTCTAGGGGGCGCCAAAGATAACCCTAAAATCCACATATTTAAAAGTCTTATAACTTTTTATTTTTGTCCTCACTGGCCTCCAAGTTTTCTAGGATGATGCAATGTCCAGCCATCAACACATTTGTGAAGGAATTTTTACTCCCCAAAAGAGCGCCCCCCCATGGCAGGAGAAAAAAGTCAATTTTTTCTTGTCCCCTAAGGTGAAAATACACATTGTTGAGTGTCACGCCTATACGCTTTGTCATATTGACCCAAAATTTAACAATCACGTGTATCTCAATAAGATCTACGAAAAAGTCAATGGGCACGTATCTGTAAAATGTACGGTTAAAGGGTTATTTCGCATTTTTTCCCGATCCGCACACATTGGAATTTCGCTAACTCCTCCGAAGGCTTTAGTTCCACCGCCACCAAATTTGCTCAGGCCAATCTACACCCCATGGCCATTAAAAGTTGTACAAATCATGACGCTGCACTCCACGGTTTAGGTTCTAGGGGGCGCCAAAGATAACCCAAAAATCCACATTCTTAATAGTCTTATAACTTTTTATTTTTGTCCTCACTGGCCTCCAAGTTTTCTAGGATGATGCAATGTACAGCCATCACCACATTTGTAAAGGAATTTTTACTCCCGAAAAGAACGCCCCCCATGGCAGGAGAAAAAAGTCCATTTTTTCTTGTCCCCTAAGGTGAAAATACATATTGTTGAGATTCACGCCTATACGCTTTGTCATATTGACACAAAATTTGACACACACGTGTATCTCAATAAGATCTACGAAAAAGTCAATGGGCACGTATCTGTAAAATGTACGGTTAAAGGGCTATTTCGCATTTTTTGCAGATTCGCACACATTGGAATGTGGCTAACTCCTCCTAAGGCTTTCTTCCCACCGACACCAAATTTGCTCAAGCCGATCTACATCCCATGGCCATTCAAAGTTGTAAAAATCATGCCGCTGCACCCCATGGTTTACGTTCTAGGGGGCGCCAAAGATGACCCAAATATCCACATTCTTAAAAGAATCCACACACCCCCCCCCCCCCCCAAGGCAGGAGAAAAAGTCCAGTTAACCCTGCCCATCGCTCAATGGCTCAATCGCATCGCTCTCCTGGCAACACCGTAAGGAGGAGCAACTTGCCATTTGGATATATCCTAGCTGTGTTTGTGCCCTCACTCATGGTCCAGACTTTTTTCAAATAGGACATGTAGTTTGTCTGCAGCGACCGTTTTGGTAGAAACTGCGCCTCCCATTCATTATAATGGGAAATGACCACAGACAAGTGCGCACACCATCTTTGGACCTTGAGTGTGATGCGATCGGGAGGGGGAGGCGGTCGCGCTGGGGGCGGCGCGACACGGCTCGGGCCCGACAGTGCCCCACCGGGGCCCTAGTTCTTTGTTTGTTTCTTTCTTTTTTCTTTTTCCTCCCCTTTGAACTGGAAAATGGCCCACTTCCCACTGGCGAAAACTCATGAAATTTGGCAGGACGACTGGGCCTGGTGAAAAATTCGATATTCTGAAGTTGCCCAAACAATTAAATGCAAAATGGCTCCATAGCGCCCCCTAAGGTGGAAATTCACACTATTGACTGTCACGCCTGTACGCTTTGTCATATTGACACAAAAATTGACACACATATGTATCTCAATAAGATCTACAAAAAAGTCAGTGCGGCCGTATCTATCAAAATTACGGTTAAAGGGTTATTTCGCATTTTTTGCCGATCCGCACACATTGGAATTTCGCTAACTCCTCCGAAGGCTTTCGTTCCACCGGCACCACATTTGCTCAGGCCAATCTACACCCCGTGGCCATTAAAAGTTATCAAAATCATGACGCTGCACCCCAAGGTTTAGGTTCTAGGGGGCGCCAAAGATAACACTAAAATCCACATATTTAAAAGTCTTATAACTTTTTATTTTTGTCCTCACTGGCCTCCAAGTTTTCTAGGATGATGCAATGTCCAGCCATCAACACATTTGTGAAGGAATTTTTACTCACCAAAAGAGCGCCCCCCCATGGCATGAGAAAAAAGTCCATTTTTTCTTGTCCCCTAAGGTGAAAATACACATTGTTGAGTGTCACGCCTATACGCTTTGTCAAAATGACACAAAAATTGACACACACATGTAACTCAATAAGATCTACGAAAAAGTCAATGCGTGCGTATCTGTCAAATGTACGGTTAAAGGGTTATTCCGCATTTTTTGCCGATCCGCACACATTGGAATGTGGCTAACTCCTCCTAAGGCTTTCGTTCCACCGGCACCACATTTGCTCAGGCCAATCTACACCCCATGGCCATTAAAAGTTATTCAAATCATGACGCTGCACCCCACGGTTTAGGTTCTAGGGGGCGCCAAAGATAACCCTAAAATCCACATATTTAAAAGTCTTATAACTTTTTATTTTTGTCCTCACTGGCCTCCAAGTTTTCTAGGATGATGCAATGTCCAGCCATCAACACATTTGTGAAGGCATTTTTACTCCCCAAAAGAGCGCCCCCCCATGGCAGGAGAAAAAAGTCCATTTTTTCTTGTCCCCTAAGGTGAAAATACATATTGTTGAGATTCACGCCTATACGCTTTGTCATATTGACACAAAATTTGACAATCACGTGCCTTGCCTGGTATCATTTTTTTCAGCACAACCTCACCTGTGCGAATTTACAGTTATTTTATCATGTTGACATACTGAATTTACACAATGGACCCAAATTCACACACAAAACATAAAATCCGAGTGGAAAAAAGTAACATTTTTACTCTGAAAACCACAATTATGTGTGATGAACTGTTTTTAAAACTTAGACTTCAAATAAAAATTGTAAACTTCAAAACATATGCAAATTTTTAACAAAGAACATAGTGATTTACCTCTATTTACATCAAAATGCAGGCAATGGCCCAGGCGTTCTTTGTAAAATTATTTACAAAACACTGTATAGTCTCACAAATGTCACTTTTTATTTATGCCACTACAAAAAAACATGATGTAAATGATGCATGATGTAAAACATGATGTAAAAAACTTGTGTAGATCCTCCTCTATGTTAGTCCATGTGTAATTTTTCCATAATTCTTTGTTTTTTGCACCATTTTTGTTAGTGTAACTGCAGATTGTGCTGACAGTGTCTATGGCACAAAAAAAAAAAAAAATAAAATGCCTCAACATGAACCCCTGGTGGTCTCTGAGGGTGAAACCTGCTAACTGCTGCAGCTCTGTCAGCTTCAGTCTCCCATGCAGAGCTCTGAGCGCATGTGTGGCTCTGCACCCTTAGCAGCGTTGCTAACTCTTCAGTAAGGAAAGCCTGCTTCATGTCAGAGTCTCTAAACTCCAGAAGAAGTCGATAAAAGTCCCTTTCTTTCTAAAAAAAAGTCGTTAGGGGGTCTGAAAAGTCATTGAATCTAACAACAAAGTCGCTAGGTTTGCAACTACGTGTCCCAGACTGCATCCCTGCTGAGAGTCCCTCCCTCCCTTCTCATGTTGCAGGAAGAAAGTAAGCGCCCGCCCCTTGTCAATCAGTCACCATATAATTTTGGATTGGTTGTTGTGGTGAAGTTTTCCACCAATAGGAGAGATGTTGTGGTGTGTTTTTTTTTCTTTTGGCAAGCCTTTTCCGCCTGTAAGACCTGTCGCTAATGTCTGCATGCTATGTTTTCCTGTCGCATACAGCGCGATCGAGCGCCTTACGTGATCAAAATAAGCAGAAAAAAAGTATCGCGGACATAATTTATCATAACTCTGGTTTTATTTGGCCTATCAACACAATTTAAAAACTGGTATATAGGTTGAGGTCCTCACTTTTGAGATAAGTTGAAATGGAGAGTCAACGAGGCTCCGTCTTGCAGCTACATCCGGTTAAATATGTCATGTGACTTGAACGCACACACAGACACACACACACGCACACACACACACACACACACACACACACACACTCAGAGTCTGGTTTTTAGCACCTGCAAAAACATGCTATTTACATATTTGACAAGAATGCAGAGGCTCCTTTTGCCCCTGAAAAAAATCAAATTTCAAACACAACTTGACTGGTCATTTCTCCAAAAGACAACCATGAAGCTCCATCCAAACCTGAAGCAGGCAGTTGGTGCATGCAGTAGCGGTTCGAGGCACGGGCGAACAGGGCAGCCGCCCGGGGCGGCATTTGTGTTATGACTCATGGGGGGCGGCACGAGCACTTCTAAAAAATAAAATAAAAGATAATGATAATAAATCTTAACCGCAAAGAGGTTTTGTATCAACTCTTGTTGTCAAATTGGCGCCCCCCCCCCCCCCCCCCCGCTGCTGTAGGCGCCCCTGCTTGCTCCGAAGGTGCTGCACAGAGGCTGACAGACTGTGTGAGACGAGGTGGGGAGAGAGTCGCGGGGGCGACAGCTCTCCTCTGTGTACGCATGTCAGCATATCAGCGGGAGCGCGGCTGCGCATTTTTACTCTGCCGGGAGCGCGGACACGTCATTTTGTAACATTCTGTAGTTTTTTAATCATTTCTGGAGTCGTGGTGAATGAAATCACCGTACCCGTCTGCCTTTGATAGGCGAATAAAGCGCTCGGGTTCATGCTCGGATCTTGCTACGTGCTTGATGAGCTTCATGAGTGAAGTAAACAATGACGGAGGCAGAGAGCAGCTTAAGAGGAGAAACATCCAGCAGTGTGAACAAACTCTTCATATAGAGTGCTTTGGCTCACACTATCAGTGTTTTCTGTGAGTGTTGAATGACTTTGGGTGAGAACAGAGATAAACACACTGTCAGCCACGTATTTATTTATTCATTTTTTAGTTTTTAGTTCTGCTTTTGTACTGGCACTATACTGGGGCAGCTGTATACCCTTTCAACACCTTATTTTCTATATTTACATTTGTATTGAATGGACACTTTATCATGACTGCCACTTTATTTTACAGAAAGCAAATTATTTGTCATTCTCCAGTGCAGAGCCTTTACTTTTATTTATACAGCCGCTTCATTTCATTTAAGTTTGTTTGTTCAAGGTTTTCAAAAATGTGATGAAGGTTCGCAAAACTAAAAGAGAGCTTTCTTGAAAGCCACATGTATAAGCTCTCAAATACTTTTTCAATTTTGTTTCTATCTACTACAGAGGCCGAGATAGCAGCTTTTTTGTAAACCTTAACACGTCAGAAAAGCTCAGGATCTGGGGGCCCTTCTCAAAATGGCCCTCAGGATTGTGTTTTTTTCTATTGAAGGATTTCTGCAATTGAGAAATTATTTTTGTTGTTATAATCATAAAAATACTACATAATAATACAAAACTCTCTTTTTGTGTTTGTGTGTTGGGGGGGGGGCAGGCACTTGGAGGGGTGCTCGCCCGGGGAGTAATTTGGTCTAGAACCGCCACTGGGTGCATGTGTACAGTAACCTGAGGGGAGTGAGGTGAGTGCTTCTGAGGAGAACATGAGCAGTGAAGATTCACCTTGGAGCTAGAACAGAGACATGCACATGATCATACAGGGGCAGGGGCTCAAGTTTTTTCCAGTCGTTTATACAATATGGAAATTAATGTGAAATTAAAACACAAAGTATTAATAGAAAGGTAATGACTGTCCTGTGTAGGTGACAGTGATATCCAATAGGCTAGGCACTCACGAGGCTGGCTGTGGCAAGTGTAAGTGAAAGCAACATGCACTGGCAGGAAGAACAGCAAACGCCGATGAAGGAAAAGGGTCTTTGCAGTGATGGGCGTTACCAGAGAGGGCGATGGCCAGAGGACACAAATGGGACGGGGAGGCAGCACGTTGGGGGGGGGACGCGACACAGCTCGGGCCCGCCAGTGCCCCAACGGGGTCCTAGTTTGTTATTATTAGGGCCCGAGCGTAGCTGCTAAGCAGCTGCGAGAGCCCTCTTGTTCCTGCATGTTTCCTTCTTTCGTTATTATTTTTCCTCCGCTTTAAACTGGAAAATGGCCCACTTCCCACCGGCGAAAACTCAGGAAATTTGGCAGGACGACCGGGCCTGGTGAAAAATTCGATATTCTGAAGTCGCCCAAACAATAAAATGCAAAATGGCTCCATAGCGCCCCCTAAGGTGAAAATTCACATGACGGCTGTACGCTTTGTCATATTGACACAAAAATTGACACACACATGTATCTCAATAAGATCTACAAAAAAGTCAGTGCGGGCGTATCTGTCAAATGTACGGTTAATGGGTTATTTTGCATTTTTTGCAGATCTGCACACATTGGAATTTCGCTAACTCCTCCGAAGGCTTTCGTTCGACCGGCACCACATTTGCGCAGGCCAATCTACCCCCCATGGCCATTAAAAGTTGTACAAATCATGACGCTGCACCCCACGGTTTACGTTCTAGGGGGCGCCAAAGATAACCCAAAATCCACATTCTTAAAAGTCTTATAACTTTTTATTTTTGTCCTCACTGCCCTCCAAGTTTTCTAGGATGATGCAATGTCCAGCCATCAACACATTTGTGAAGGAATTTTTACTCCCCAAAAGAGCGCCCCCCCATGGCAGGAGAAAAAAGTCAATTTTTTCTTGTCCCCTTACATGAAAATACACATTGTTGAGTGTCACGCCTGAACGCTTTGTCATATTGACACAAAAATTGACAATCATGTGTATCTCAATTAGATCTACGAAAAAGTCAAAAAGCGCGTATCTGTATAATGTACGGTTAAAGGGCTATTTCGCATTTTTTGACGATTCGCACACATTGGAATGTGGCTATCTCCTCCTAAGGCTTTCGTCCCACCGATACCAAATTTGCTCAGGGCAATCTACACCCCATGCCCATTCAAAGTTGTAAAAATCATGACGCTGCACCCCACGGTTTACGTTCTAGGGGGCGCCAAAGATGACCCAAAAATCCACATTCTTAAAAGTCATTTTGGCCACTGCAGGAGTACAGAGTACTGCAGTTCTAGGGGGCGCCAAAGATGACCCAAAAATCCACATTCTTAAAAGTCTTTTTGGCCACTGCAGGAGTACAGAGTACTGCAGGATACACACACACACACACACACACACACACACACACACACACACACACACACACACACACACACTCAGAGTCTGTTTTTTAGCACCTGCAAAAACATGCTGTTTACATATTTGACAAGAATGCAGAGGCTTCCTTTTGCCCCTGAAAAAAATCAGATTTCAAACACAACTTGACTGTTCATTTCTCCAAAAGACAACCATGAAGCTCCATCCAAACCTGAAGCAGATAGTTGGTGCATGTGTACAGTAACCTGAGGGGAGTGAGGTGACTATTTCTGAGGAGAACATGAGCAGTGAAGATTCACCTTGGAGCTAGAACAGGGACGTGCACATGATTATACAGGGGCAGGGGCTCAAGTTTTCATTTATACAATATGGAAATTAATGTGAAATTAAACCACAAATATGTGTGATGAACTGTTTTTAAAACTTAAACTTCAAATAAAAATTGTAAACTTCAAAACATATGCAAATTTTTAACAAAGAACATAGTAATTTACCTCTATTTACATCAAAATGCAGGCAATGGCCCAGGCGTTCTTTGTAAAATTATTTACAAAACACTGTATAGTCTCACAAATGTCACTTTTTATTTATGCCACTACAAAAAAACATGATGTAAATGATGCATGATGTAAAACATGATGTAAAAAACTTGTGTAGATCCTCCTCTATGTCAGTCCATGTGTAATTTTTCCATAATTCTTTGTTTTTTGCAGCATTTTTGTTAGTGTAACTGCAGATTGTGCTGACAGTCTATGGCAAAAAAAACAAAAACTGAAAATGCCTCAACATGAACCCCTGGTGGTCTCTGAGGGTGAAACCTGCTAACTGCTGCAGCTCTGTCAGCTTCAGTCTCCCATGCAGAGCTCGGAGCGCATGTGTGGCTCTGCACCCTTAGCAGCGTTGCTAACTCCTCAGTAAGGAAAGCCTGCTTCATGTCAGAGTCTCTAAACTCCAGAAGAAGTCGATAAAAGTCCCTTTCTTTCTAAAAAAAAGTCGTTAGGGGGTCTGAAAAGTAATTGAATCTAACAACAAAGTTGCTAGGTTTGCAACTACGTGTCCCAGACTGCATCCCTGCTGAGAGTCCCTCCCTCCCTTCTCATGTTGCAGGAAGAACGTAAGCGCCCGCCCCTTGTCATTCAGTCACCATATAATTTTGGATTGGTTGTTGTGGTGAAGTTTTCCACCAATAGGAGAGATGTTGTGGTGTGTTTTTTTTTTCTTTTAGCAAGCCTTTTCCGCCTGTAAGACCTGTCGCTAATGTGTGCATGCTATGTTTTCCTGTCTCATACAGCGCGATCGAGCGCCGAACGTGATCAAAATAAGCAGAAAAAAAGTATCGCGGACATAATTTATCATAACTCTGGTTTTATTTGGCCTATCAACACAATTTAAAAACTGGTATATAGGTTGAGGTCCTCACTTTTGAGATAAGTTGAAACGGAGAGTTAACGAGGCTCCGTCTTGCAGCTACATCCGGTTAAATATGTCATGTGACTTGAACGCTGGGGAGCGTCAATCGAATCGAATCAAACCTAACTCTCAGATGAATCTTCAAAATTCACCTCAGAAATATGCTTATTATTCTTCTCAGAGTACTGCAGGATACACACACACACACAGACACACACACACACACGCACACACACACACACACTCAAAGTCTGTTTTTTAGCACCTGCAAAAACATGCTATTTACATATTTGACAAGAATGCAGAGGCTTCCTTTTGCCCCTGAAAAAAATCAAATTTCAAACACAACTTGACTGCTCATTTCTCCAAAAGACAACCATGAAGCTCCATCCAAACCTGAAGCAGGCAGTTGGTGCATGTGTACAGTAACCTGAGGGGAGTGAGGTGACTGCTTCTGAGGAGAACATGAGCAGTGAAGATTCACCTTGGAGCTAGAACAGGGACGTGCACATGATAATACAAGGGCAGGGGCTCAAGTTTTCATTTATACAATATGGAAATTAATGTGAAATTAAACCACAAATATGTGTGATGAACTGTTTTTAAAACTTTGGCAGGACGACCGGGCCTGGTGAAAAATTCGATATTCTGAAGTCGCCCAAAAAATCAAATGCAAAATGGCTCCATAGCGCCCCCTAAGGTGAAAAATTCACATGATTGAGTGTCACGCCTGTACGCTTTGTCAAAATGACACAAAATTTGACACACACGTGTATCTCAATAAGATCTACAAAAAAGTCAGTGCGGGCGTATCTGTCAAATGTATGGTTAAAGGTTTATTTCGCATTTTTTGCCGATCCGCACACATTGGAATTTCGCTAACTCCTCCGAAGGTTTTCGTTCCACCGGCACCACATTTGCTCAGGCCAATCTACACCCCATGGCCAATAAAAGTTGTACAAATCATGACGCTGCACCCCACGGTTTACGTTCTAGGGGGCGCCAAAGATAACCCAAAAATCCACAGTCTTAAAAGTCTTATAACTTTTTATTTTTGTCCTCACTGGCCTCCAAGTTCTCTAGGATGATGCAATGTCCAGCCATCAACACATTTGTGAAGGAATTTTTACTCGCCAAAAGAGCGCCCCCCCATGGCAGGAGAAAAATGTCAATTTTTTCTTGTCTCCTAAGGCGAAAATACACATCGTTGACTGTCACGCCTTTACGCTTTGTCAAAATGACACAAAATTTGACACACACATGTATCTCAATAAGATCTACAAAAAAGTCAGTGCGGGCGTATCTGTCAAATGTACGGTTAAAGGGTTATTTCGCATTTTTTGCCGATCCGCACACATTGGAATTTCGCTAACTCCTCCGAAGGCTTTCGTTCCAACGGCACCACATTTGCTCAGGCCAATCTACACCCCATGGCCATTAAAAGTTGTACAAATCATGACGCTGCACCCCACGGTTTACGTTCTAGGGGGCGCCAAAGATAACCCAAAAATCCACAGTCTTAAAAGTCTTATAACTTTTTATTTTTGTCCTCACTGGCCTCCAAGTTCTCTAGGATGATGCAATGTCCAGCCATCAACACATTTGTGAAGGAATTTTTACTCGCCAAAAGAGCGCCCCCCATGGCAGGAGAAAAAAGTCCATTTTTTCTTGTCTCCTAAGGCGAAAATACACATTGTTGACTGTCACGCCTTTACGCTTTGTCAAAATGACACAAAATTTGACACACACATGTATCTCAATAAGATCTACGAAAAAGTCAATGCGAGCGTATCTGTTCAATGTACGGTTAAAGGGCTATTTCGCATTTTTTGCCGATTCGCACACATTGGAATGTGGCTAACTCCTCCTAAAGCTTTTGTCCCATCGGCTTCAAATTTGCTCAGGTCAATCTACACCCCATGGCCATTCAAAGTTGTACAAATCATGACGCTGCACCCCACGGTTTACGTTCTAGGGGGTGCCAAAGAGGACCCAAATATCCACATTTTTAAAAGTCTTATAACTTTTTATTTTTGTCCTCACTGGCCTCCAAGTTTTCTAGGATGATGCAATGTCCAGCCATCAACACATTTGTGAAGGAATTTTTTCTCCCCAAAAGAGCGCCCCCCATGGCAGGAGAAAAAGTCAAGTTTTTCCTGCCCATCGCTCAATGGCTCAAAAGCATCGCTCTCTCGGCAAAACCGAAAGGAGGAGCAACTTGCCATTTGGATATATACTAGCTGTGTTTGTGCCCTCACTCATGGTCCAGACTTTTTTCAAAAAGGACATGGAGTTTGTCTGCAGCAAACGTTTTGGTAGAAACTGCGCCTCCCATTCATTATAATGGTAAATGACCACAGACAAGTGCGCACACCATCTTTGGACCTTGAGTGTGACGCGATCAAGAGGGGTAGGCGGTCGCGCTGGGGGTGGCGCGACACGGCTCGGGCCCGCCAGTGCCCCAACGGGGCCCTAGTTATTATTTTTCCTCCCCTTTGAACTGGAAAATGGCCCACTTCCCACTGGCGAAAACTCATGAAATTTGGCAGGACGACCGGGCCTGGTGAAAAATTTGATATTCCGAAGTCGCCCAAACAAGAAAATGCAAAATGGCTCCATAGCGCCCCCTAAGGTGAAAATTCACACTATTGACTGTCACGCCTGTACGCTTTGTCAAAATGACACAAAAATTGACACACACATGTATCTCAATAAGATCTACAAAAAAGTCAGTGCGGGCGTATCTGTCAAATGTACAGTTAAAGGGTTATTTCGCATTTTTTGCCGATCCGCACACATTGGAATTTCGCTAACTCCTCCGAAGGCTTTCGTTCCACCGGCACCACATTTGCTCAGGCCAATCTACACCCCATGGCCATTAAAAGTTATTCAAATCATGACGCTGCACCCCACGGTTTAGGTTCTAGGGGGCGCCAAAGATAACCCTAAGATCCACATATTTAAAAGTCTTATAACTTTTTATTTTTGCCCTCACTGACCTCCAAGTTTTCTAGGATGATGCAATGTCCAGCCATCAACACATTTGTGAAGAAATTTTTACTCCCCAAAAGAGCGCCCCCCCATGGCAGGAGAAAAAAGTCCATTTTTTCTTGTCCCCTAAGGTGAAAATACACATTGTTGAGTGTAACACCTGTACGCTTTGGCAAAATGACACAAAAATTGACACACACATGTATCTCAATAAGATCTACGAAAAAGTCAATGCGCGCGTATCTGTCAAATGTACAGTTAAAGGGTTATTCCGCATTTTTTGCCGATCCGCACACATTGGAATTTCGCTAACTCCTCCGAAGGCTTTCGTTCCACCGGCACCACATTTGCTCAGGCCAATCTACACCCCATGGCCATTAAAAGTTATTCAAATCATGACGCTGCACCCCACGGTTTAGGTTCTAGGGGGCGCCAAAGATAACCGTAAAATCCACATATTTAAAAGTCTTATAACTTTTTATTTTTGTCCCCACTGGCCTCCAAGTTTTCTAGGATGATGCAATGTCCAGCCATCAACACATTTGTGAAGGAATTTTTACTCGCCAAAAGAGCGCCCCCCCATGGCAGGAGAAAAAAGTCCATTTTTTCTTGTCCACTAAGGTGAAAATACACATTGTTGAGTGCTACGCCTGTATGTTTTGTCGTATTGACACAAAATTTTACACACACGTGTATTTCAATAAGATCTTCGAAAAAGTCAATGGCCACGTATCTGTCAAATGTACGGTTAAAGGGTTATTTCGCATTTTTTGCAGATTCGCACACATTGGAATTTCGCTAACTCCTCCGAAGGCTTTCGTTCCACCGGCACCACATTTGCTCAGGCCAATCTACACCCCATGGCCATTAAAAGTTATTCAAATCATGACGCTGCACCCCACGGTTTAGGTTCTAGGGGGCGCCAAAGATAACCGTAAAATCCACATATTTAAAAGTCTTATAACTTTTTATTTTTGTCCTCACTGGCCTCCATGTTTTCTAGGATGATGCAATGTCCAGCCATCAACACATTTGTGAAGGAGTTTTTTCTCGTTAAAAGAGCGCCCCCCCATGGCAGGAGAATAAAGTCAAGTTTTTCCTGTTCATCATTCAATGGCTCAAACGCACTTCTCTCTCGGCAAAAGCGAAAGGAGGAGCAACTTGCCATTTGGATATATCTTAGCTGTGTTTGTGCCCTCACTCATGGTCCAGACTTTTTTCAAATAGGACATGGAGTTTTTCTGCAGCGAGCGTTTTGGTAGAAACTGCGCCTCCCGTTCATTATAATGGTAAATGACCACAAACAAGTGCGCACACCATCTTTGGACCTTGAGTGTGACGCGATCGGGTGGGGGAGGCGGTCGCGCTGGGGGCGGCGTGACACGGCTCGGGCCCGCCAGTGCCCCAACGGGGCCCTAGTTTTTCTTTTTCCTCCCCTTTGAACTGGAAAATGGCCCAATTCCCACTGGCGAAAACTCATGAAATTTGGCAGGACGACCGGGCCTGGTGAAAAAATTGATATTCCGAAGTCGCCCAAACAAGAAAATGCAAAATGGCTCCATAGCGCCCCCTAAGGTTAAAATTCACACTATTGACTGTCACGCCTGTACGCTTTGTCAAAATGACACAAAAATTGACACACACATGTATCTCAATAAGATCTACAAAAAAGTCAGTGCGGGCGTATCTGTCAAATGTACGGTTAAAGGGTTATTTCGCATTTTTTGCCGATCCGCACACATTGGAATTTCGCTAACTCCTCCGAAGGCTTTCGTTCCACCGGCACCACATTTGCTCAGGCCAATCTACACCCCATGGCCATTAAAAGTTATTCAAATCATGACGCTGCACCCCACGGTTTAGGTTCTAGGGGGCGCCAAAGATAACCAAAAAATCCACAGTCTTAAAAGTCTTATAACTTTTTATTTTTGTCCTCACTGGCCTCCAAGTTCTCTAGGATGATGCAATGTCCAGCCATCAACACATTTGTGAAGGAATTTTTACTCCCCAAAAGAGCGCCCCCCCATGGCAGGAGAAAAAAGTCCATTTTTTCTTGTCCCCCAAGGCGAAAATACACATTGTTGAATGTCACGCCTGTACGCTTTGTCATATTGACACAAAATTTGACAATCACGTGCATCTCAATAAGATCTACAAAAAAGTCAGTGCGGGAGTATCTGTCAAATGTACGGTTAAAGGGCTATTTCGCATTTTTTGCCGATCCGCACACATTGGAATTTCGCTAACTCCTCCGAAGGCTTTCGTTCCACCGGCACCAAATTTGCTCAAGCCAATCTACACCCCATGGCCATTAAAAATTGTACAAATCATGACGCTGCACCCCACGGTTTAGGTTCTAGGGGGCGCCAAAGATAACCCAAAAATCCACATTCTTTAGTCTTATAACTTTTTATTTTTGTCCTCACTGGCCTCGAAGTTTTCTAGGATGATGCAATGTCTAGCCATCAACACATTTGTGAAGGAATTTTTACTCCCTAAAAGAGCTCCCCCCCATTGCAGGAGAAAAAGTCAAGTTTTTCCTGCCCATCGCTCAATGGCTCAAACACATCGCTCTCTCGGCAAAACCGAAAGGAGGAGCAACTTGCCATTTGGATATATCCTAGCTGTGTTTGTGCCCTCACTCATGGTCCAGACTTTTTTCAAATAGGACATGTAGTTTGTCTGCAGCGAGCGTTTTGGTAGAAACTGCGCCTCCCATTCATTATAATGGTAAATGACCACAGACAAGTGCGCACGCCATCTTTGGACCTTGAGTGTGACGCGATCGGGAGGGAGAGGCGGTCGTGCTGGGGGCAGCGCGACACAGCTCGGGCCCGCCAGTGTCCCAACGGGGCCCTAGTTAGGGCCCGAGCATAGCTGCTAAGCAGCTGCGAGAGCCCTATTGTTCCTGATGGATTCTTCTTTCTTCTTCTTCTTCTTTTTCTTCTTCTTATTAGGGCCCGAGCCAGCTGCAGAGCAGCCGGGCGTAGAGCCCTATTGTTCCCCAGGTGGTTTTTCTTTGTTTCTTTCTTTCTTTCTTTCTTTCTTTCTTTAGGGCCCGAGCATAGCTGCTAAGCAGCTGCGAGAGCCCTCTTGTTCCTGATGGATTCTTCTTTTTTGGGCCTGAGCGTAGCTGCTAAGCAGCTGCGAGGCCCTATTATTCCTGTAGTGGTTTTTCTTTGTTTCTTTTTTCTTTTTCCTCCCCTTTGAACTGGAAAATGGCCCAATTCCCACTGGCGAAAACTCATGAAATTTGGCAGGACGACCGGGCCTGGTGAAAAAATTGATATTCCGAAGTCGCCCAAACAAGAAAATGCAAAATGGCTCCATAGCGCCCCCTAAGGTTAAAATTCACACTATTGACTGTCACGCCTGTACGCTTTGTCAAAATGACACAAAAATTGACACACACATGTATCTCAATAAGATCTACAAAAAAGTCAGTGCGGGCGTATCTGTCAAATGTACGGTTAAAGGGTTATTTCGCATTTTTTGCCGATCCGCACACATTGGAATTTCGCTAACTCCTCCGAAGGCTTTCGTTCCACCGGCACCACATTTGCTCAGGCCAATCTACACCCCATGGCCATTAAAAGTTATTCAAATCATGACGCTGCACCCCACGGTTTAGGTTCTAGGGGGCGCCAAAGATAACCAAAAAATCCACAGTCTTAAAAGTCTTATAACTTTTTATTTTTGTCCTCACTGGCCTCCAAGTTCTCTAGGATGATGCAATGTCCAGCCATCAACACATTTGTGAAGGAATTTTTACTCCCCAAAAGAGCGCCCCCCCATGGCAGGAGAAAAAAGTCCATTTTTTCTTGTCCCCCAAGGCGAAAATACACATTGTTGAATGTCACGCCTGTACGCTTTGTCATATTGACACAAAATTTGACAATCACGTGCATCTCAATAAGATCTACGAAAAAGTCAATGCGCGCGTATCTGTAAAATGTAGGGTTAAAGGGCTTTTTCGCATTTTTTGCAGATTCGGACACATTGGAATGTGGCTTAGTCCTCCTAAGGCTTTCGTCCCACTGACACCAAATTTGCTCAGGCCAATCTACACCCCATGGCCATTCAACGTTGTAAAAATCATGACGCTGCACCCCACGGTCTACGTTCTAGGGGGCGCCAAAGAGGACCCAAATATCCACATTTTTAAAAGTCTTATAACTTTTTATTTTTGTGCTCACTGGCCTCCAAGTTTTCTAGGATGATGCAATGTCCAGTCATCAACACATTTGTGAAGGAATTTTTACTCCCCAAAAGAGCGCCCCCCCATGGCAGGAGAAAAAAGTCCATTTTTTCTTGTCCCCTAAGGTGAAAATACACATTGTTGAGGGTCATGCCTGTACGCTTTGTCAAAATGACACAAAATTCGACACACACGTGTATCTCAATAAGATCTACGAAAAAGTAAATGCAGGCGTATCTGTCAAATGTACGGTTAAAGGGCTATTTAGGGCCCGAGCGTAGCTGCTAGGCAGCTGCGAGAGCCCTATTATTCCCCAAGTGGTTTTTCTTTGTTTCTTTAGGGCCCGAGCCAGCTGCAGAGCAGCCGGGCGTAGGCCCTATTATTCCCCAAGTGGTTTTTCTTTGTTTCTTTCTTTCTTTCTTTCTTAGGGCCCGAGCGTAGCTGCTAAGCAGCTGCGAGAGCCCTCTTGTTCCTGTAGTTTCCTTCTTTTGTTATTATTATTATTATTTTTCCTCCCATTTGAACTGGAAAATGGCCCACTTCCCACTGGCGAAAACTCATGAAATTTGGCAGGACGACCGGGCCTGGTGAAAAATTTGATATTCCGAAGTCGCCCAAACAAGAAAATGCAAAATGGCTCCATAGCGCCCCCTAAGGTGAAAATTCACACTATTCACTGTCACGCCGGTACGCTTTGTCAAAATGACACAAAAATTGACACACACATGTATCTCAATAAGATCTACAAAAAAGTCAGTGCGGGCGTATCTGTCAAATGTACGGTTAAAGGGTTATTTCGCATTTTTTGCCGATCCGCACACATTGGAATTTCGCTAACTCCTCCGAAGGCTTTCGTTCCACCGGCACCACATTTGCTCAGGCCAATCTACACCCCATGGCCATTAAAAGTTATTCAAATCATGACGCTGCACCCCACGGTTTAGGTTCTAGGGGGCGCCAAAGATAACCCTAAGATCCACATATTTAAAAGTCTTATAACTTTTTATTTTTGCCCTCACTGGCCTCCAAGTTTTCTAGGATGATGCAATGTCCAGCCATCAACACATTTGTGAAGGAATTTTTACTCCCCAAAAGAGCGCCCCCCCATGGCAGGAGAAAAAAGTCCATTTTTTCTTGTCCCCTAAGGTGAAAATACACATTGTTGAGTGTAACACCTGTACGCTTTGGCAAAATGACACAAAAATTGACACACACATGTATCTCAATAAGATCTACGAAAAAGTCAATGCGCGCGTATCTGTCAAATGTACGGTTAAAGGGTTATTCCGCATTTTTTGCCGATCCGCACACATTGGAATTTCGCTAACTCCTCCGAAGGCTTTCGTTCCACCGGCACCACATTTGCTCAGGCCAATCTACACCCCATGGCCATTAAAAGTTATTCAAATCATGACGCTGCACCCCACGGTTTAGGTTCTAGGGGGAGCCAAAGATAACCGTAAAATCCACATATTTAAAAGTCTTATAACTTTTTATTTTTGTCCCCACTGGCCTCCAAGTTTTCTAGGATGATGCAATGTCCAGCCATCAACACATTTGTGAAGGAATTTTTACTCGGCAAAAGAGCGCCCCCCATGGCAGGAGAAAAAAGTCAATTTTTTCTTGTCCACTAAGGTGAAAATACACATTGTTGAGTGCTACGCCTGTATGTTTTGTCGTATTGACACAAAATTTTACATACACGTGTATTTACATAAGATCTTCGAAAAAGTCAATGGCCACGTATCTGTAAAATGTACGGTTAAAGGGTTATTTTGCATTTTTTGCAGATTCGCACACATTGGAATTTCGCTAATTCCTCCGAAGGCTTTCGTTCCACCGGCACCACATTTGCTCAGGCCAATCTACACCCCATGGCCATTAAAAGTTATTCAAATCATGACGCTGCACCCCACGGTTTAGGTTCTAGGGGGCGCCAAATATAACCCTAAAATCCACATATTTAAAAGTCTTATAACTTTTTATTTTTGTCCTCACTGGCCTCCATGTTTTCTAGGATGATGCAATGTCCAGCCATCAACACATTTGTGAAGGAGTTTTTTCTCTTTAAAAGAGCGCCCCCCCATGGCAGGAGAATAAAGTCAAGTTTTTCCTGTTCATCATTCAATGGCTCAAACGCACTGCTCTCTCGGCAAAAGCGAAAGGAGGAGCAACTTGCCATTTGGATATATCTTAGCTGTGTTTGTGCCCTCACTCATGGTCCAGACTTTTTTCAAATAGGACATGGAGTTTTTCTGCAGCGAGCGTTTTGGTAGAAACTGCGCCTCCCGTTCATTATAATGGTAAATGACCACAAACAAGTGCGCACACCATCTTTGGACCTTGAGTGTGACGCGATCGGGTGGGGGAGGCGGTCGCGCTGGGGGCGGCGTGACACGGCTCGGGCCCGCCAGTGCCCCAACGGGGCCCTAGTTTCTTCTTTTTCCTCCCCTTTGAACTGGAAAATGGCCCACTTCCCACTGGCGAAAACTCATGAAATTTGGCAGGACGACCGGGCCTGGTGAAAAATTCGATATTCTGAAGTCGCCCAAACAATAAAATGCAAAATGGCTCCATAGCGCCCCCTAAGGTGGAAATTCACACTATTGACTGTCACGCCTGTACGCTTTGTCATATTGACACAAAAATTGACACACATATGTATCTCAATAAGATCTACAAAAAAGTCAGTGCGGCCGTATCTGTCAAAATTACGGTTAAAGGGTTATTTCGCATTTTTTTCCGATCCGCACACATTGGAATTTCGCTAACTCCTCCGAAGGCTTTCGTTCCACCGGCACCACATTTGCTCAGGCCAATCTACACCCCGTGGCCATTAAAAGTTATCAAAATCATGACGCTGCACCCCAAGGTTTAGGTTCTAGGGGGCGCCAAAGATAACACTAAAATCCACATATTTAAAAGTCTTATAACTTTTTATTTTTGTCCTCACTGGCCTCCAAGTTTTCTAGGATGATGCATTGTCCAGCCATCAACACATTTGTGAAGGAATTTTTACTCCCCAAAAGAGCGCCCCCCCATGGCAGGAGAAAAAAGTCCAATTTTTCTTGTCCCCTAAGGTGAAAATACACATTGTTCAGTGTCACGCCTACACGCTTTGTCAAAATGACACAAAAATTGACACACACATGTAACTCAATAAGATCTACGAAAAAGTCAATGCGCGCGTATCTGTCAAATGTACGGTTAAAGGGTTATCTCGCATTTTTTGCCGATCCGCACACATTGGAATTTCGCTAACTCCTCCGAAGGCTTTCGTTCCACCGGCACCACATTTGCTCAGGCCAATCTACACCCCGTGGCCATTAAAAGTTATCAAAATCATGACGCTGCACCCCAAGGTTTAGGTTCTAGGGGGCGCCAAAGATAACACTAAAATCCACATATTTAAAAGTCTTATAACTTTTTATTTTTGTCCTCACTGGCCTCCAAGTTTTCTAGGATGATGCAATGTCCAGCCATCAACACATTTGTGAAGGAATTTTTACTCCCCAAAAGAGCGCCCCCCCATGGCAGGAGAAAAAAGTCCATTTTTTCTTGTCCCCTAAGGTGAAAATACACATTGTTGAGTGTCACGCCTATACGCTTTGTCAAAATGACACAAAAATTGACACACACATGTAACTCAATAAGATCTACGAAAAAGTCAATGCGCGCGTATCTGTCAAATGTATGGTTAAAGGGTTTTTTCGCATTTTTTGCCGATCCGCACACATTGGAATGTGGCTAACTCCTCCTAGGGCTTTCATTCCACCGGCACCACATTTGCTCAGGCCAATCTACACCCCATGGCCATTCAAAGTTGTACAAATCATGACGCTGCACCCCACGGTTTACGTTCTAGGGGGTGCCAAAGAGGACCCAAATATCCACATTTTTAAAAGTCTTATAACTTTTTATTTTTGTCCTCACTGGCCTCCAAGTTTTCTAGGATGATGCAATGTCCAGCCATCAACACATTTGTGAAGGAATTTTTTCTCCCCAAAAGAGCGCCCCCCCCATGGCAGGAGAAAAAGTCAAGTTTTTCCTGCCCATCGCTCAATGGCTCAAAAGCATCGCTCTCTCGGCAAAACCGAAAGGAGGAGCAACTTGCCATTTGGATATATACTAGCTGTGTTTGTGCCCTCACTCATGGTCCAGACTTTTTTCAAAAAGGACATGGAGTTTGTCTGCAGCGAGCGTTTTGGTAGAAACTGCGCCTCCCATTCATTATAATGGTAAATGACCACAGACAAGTGCGCACACCATCTTTGGACCTTGAGTGTGACGCGATCAAGAGGGGTAGGCGGTCGCGCTGGGGGCGGCGCGACACGGCTCGGGCCCGCCAGTGCCCCAACGGGGCCCTAGTTCTTTCTTTCTTTCTTTCTTTCTTTCTTCTTTTTCCTCCCCTTTGAACTGGAAAATGGCCCACTTCCCACTGGCGAAAACTCATGAAATTTGGCAGGACGACCGGGCCTGGTGAAAAATTCGATATTCTGAAGTCGCCCAAACAATAAAATGCAAAATGGCTCCATAGCGCCCCCTAAGGTGAAAATTCACACTATTGACTGTCACGCCTGTACGCTTTGTCATATTGACACAAAAATTGACACACATATGTATCTTAATAAGATCTACAAAAAAGTCAGTGCGGCCGTATCTGTCAAAATTACGGTTAAAGGGTTATTTCGCATTTTTTGCCGATCCGCACACATTGGAATTTCGCTAACTCCTCCGAAGGCTTTCGTTCCACCGGCACCACATTTGCTCAGGCCAATCTACACCCCATGGCCATTAAAAGTTATCAAAATCATGACGCTGCACCCCAAGGTTTAGGTTCTAGGGGGCGCCAAAGATAACACTAAAATCCACATATTTAAAAGTCTTATAACTTTTTATTTTTGTCCTCACTGGCCTCCAAGTTTTCTAGGATGATGCAATGTCCAGCCATCAACACATTTGTGAAGGAATTTTTACTCCCCAAAAGAGCGCTCCCCCATGGCAGAAGAAAAAAGTCCATTTTTTCTTGTCCCCTAAGGTGAAAATACACATTGTTGAGTGTCACGCCTATACGCTTTGTCAAAATGACACAAAAATTGACACACACATGTAACTCAATAAGATCTACGAAAAAGTCAATGCGCGCGTATCTTTCAAATGTACGGTTAAAGGGTTATTCCGCATTTTTTGCCGATCCGCACACATTGGAATGTGGCTAACTCCTCCTAAGGCTTTCGTTCCACCGGCACCACATTTGCTCAGGCCAATCTACACCCCATGGCCATTAAAAGTTATTCAAATCATGACGCTGCACCCCACGGTTTAGGTTCTAGGGGGCGCCAAAGATAACCCTAAAATCCACATATTTAAAAGTCTTATAACTTTTTATTTTTGTCCTCACTGGCCTCCAAGTTTTCTAGGATGATGCAATGTCCAGCCATCAACACATTTGTGAAGGAATTTTTACTCGCCAAAAGAGCGCCCCCCCATGGCAGGAGAAAAAAGTCCATTTTTTCTTGTCCCCTAAGGTGAAAATACATATTGTTGAGATTCACGCCTATACGCTTTGTCATATTGACACAAAATTTGACAATCACGTGCCTTGCCTGGTATCATTTTTTTCAGCACAACCTCACCTGTGCGAATTTACAGTTATTTAATCATGTTGACATACTGAATTTACACAATGGACCCAAATTCACACACAAAACATAAAATCCGAGTGGAAAAAAGTAACATTTTTACTGTGAAAACCACAAATATGTGTGATGAACTGTTTTTAAAACTTAAACTTCAAATAAAAATTGTAAACTTCAAAACATATGCAAATTTTTAACAAAGAACATAGTGATTTACCTCTATTTACATCAAAATGCAGGCAATGGCCCAGGCGTTCTTTGTAAAATTATTTACAAAACACTGTATAGTCTCACAAATGTCACTTTTTATTTATGCCACTACAAAAAAACATGATGTAAATGATGCATGATGTAAAACATGATGTAAAAAACTTGTGTAGATCCTCCTCTATGTCAGTCCATGTGTAATTTTTCCATAATTCTTTGTTTTTTGCAGCATTTTTGTTAGTGTAACTGCAGATTGTGCTGACAGTGTCTATGGCACAAAAAAAAAAAAAATTAAAATGCCTCAACATGAACCCCTGGTGGTCTCTGAGGGTGAAACCTGCTAACTGCTGCAGCTCTGTCAGCTTCAGTCTCCCATGCAGAGCTCTGAGCGCATGTGTGGCTCTGCACCCTTAGCAGCGTTGCTAACTCCTCAGTAAGGAAAGCCTGCTTCATGTCAGAGTCTCTAAACTCCAGAAGAAGTCGATAAAAGTCCCTTTCTTTCTAAAAAAAAGTCGTTAGGGGGTCTGAAAAGTCATTGAATCTAACAACAAAGTCGCTAGGTTTGCAACTACGTGTCCCAGACTGCATCCCTGCTGAGAGTCCCTCCCTCGCTTCTCATGTTGCAGGAAGAACGTAAGCGCCCGCCCCTTGTCAATCAGTCACCATATAATTTTGGATTGGTTGTTGTGGTGAAGTTTTCCACCAATAGGAGAGATGTTGTGGTGTGTTTTTTTTTTCTTTTGGCAAGCCTTTTCCGCCTGTAAGACCTGTCGCTAATGTCTGCATGCTATGTTTTCCTGTCTCATACAGCGCGATCGAGCGCCGAACGTGATCAAAATAAGCAGAAAAAAAGTATCGCGGACATAATTTATCATAACTCTGGTTTTATTTGGCCTATCAACACAATTTAAAAACTGGTATATAGGTTGAGGTCCTCACTTTTGAGATAAGTTGAAACGGAGAGTCAACAAGGCTCCGTCTTGCAGCTACATCCGGTTAAATATGTCATGTGACTTGAACGCACACACAGACACACACACACGCACACACACACACACACACACACACACTCAGAGTCTGGTTTTTAGCACCTGCAAAAACATGCTATTTACATATTTGACAAGAATGCAGAGGCTCCTTTTGCCCCTGAAAAAAATCAAATTTCAAACACAACTTGACTGCTCATTTCTCCAAAAGACAACCATGAAGCTCCATCCAAACCTGAAGCAGGCAGTTGGTGCATGTGTACAGTAACCTGAGGGGAGTGAGGTGAGTGCTTCTGAGGAGAACATGAGCAGTGAAGATTCACCTTGGAGCTAGAACAGAGACATGCACATGATTATACAGGGGCAGGGGCTCAAGTTTTTTCCAGTCGTTTATACAATATGGAAATTAATGTGAAATTAAAACACAAAGTATTAATACAAAGGTAATGACTGTCCTGTGTAGGTGACAGTGATATCCAATAGGCTAGGCACTCACGAGGCTGGCTGTGGCAAGTGTAAGTGAAAGCAACACGCACTGGCAGGAAGAACAGCAAACGCCGATGAAGGAAAAGGGTCTTTGCAGTGATGGGCGTTACCAGAGAGGGCGATGGCCAGAGGACACAAATGCGACGGGGAGGCAGCACGTTGGGGGGGGGGGACGCGACACGGCTCGGGCCCGCCAGTGCCCCAACGGGGTCCTAGTTCGCATTTTTTGCCGATTCGCACACATTGGAATGTAGCTAACTCCTCCTAAGGCTTTCGCTCCACCGGCACCAAATTTGCTCAGGCCAATCTACACCCCATGGTCAGTCAAAGTTGTAAAAATCATGACGCTGCACCCCACGGTTTAAGTTCTAGGGGGCGCCAAAGATGACCCAAATATCCATATTCTTAAAAGTGTTATAACATTTTATTTTTGTCCTCACTGGCCTCCATGTTTTCTAGGATGATGCAATGTCCAGCCATCAACACATTTGTGAAGGAGTTTTTCCTCGTTAAAAGAGCGCCCCCCCATGGCAGGAGAATAAAGTCAAGTTTTTCCTGTTCATCGTTCAATGGCTCAAACGCATCGCTCTCTCGGCAAAAGCGAAAGGAGGAGCAACTTGCCATTTGGATATATCTTAGCTGTGTTTGTGCCCTCACTCATGGTCCAGACTTTTTTCAAATAGGACATGGAGTTTTTCTGCAGCGAGCGTTTTGGTAGAAACTGCGCCTCCCATTCATTATAATGGTAAATGACCACAGACAAGTGCGCACACCATCTTTGGACCTTGAGTGTGACGCGATTGGGTGGGGGAGGCGTCGCGCTGGGGGCGGCGCGACACGGCTCGGGCCCGCCAGTGCCCCACCGGGGCCCTAGTTCTTTCTTTCTTTCTTCTTATTTTTCCTCCCCTTTGAAGGGGAAAATGGCCCACTTCCCACTGGCGAAAACTCATGACATTTGGCAGGATGACCGGGCCTGGTGAAAAATTCGATATTCTGAAGTCGCCCAAACAATAAAATGCAAAATGGCTCCATAGCGCCCCCTAAGGTGGAAATTCACACTATTGACTGTCACGCTTGTACGCTTTGTCATATTGACACAAAAATTGACACACACATGTATCTCAATACGATCTACAAAAAAGTCAGTGTGGGCGTATCTGTCAAATGTACGGTTAAAGGGTTATTTCGCATTTTTTGCCGATCCGCACACATTGGAATTTCGCTAACTCCTCCGAAGGCTTTCGTTCCACCGGCACCAAATTTGCTCAGGCCAATCTACACCCCATGGCAATTAAAAGTTGTACAAATCATGACGCTGCACCCCACGGTTTAGGTTCTAGGGGGCGCCAAAGATAACCCAAAAATCCACATTCTTAAAAGTCTTATAACTTTTTATTTTTGTCCTCACTGGCCTCCAAGTTTTGTAGGATGATGCAATGTCCAGCAATTAACACATTTGTGAAGGAATTTTTACTCGCCAAAAGAGCGCCCCCCCATGGCAGGAGAAAAAAGTCCATTTTTTTCTTGTCCCCTAAGGCGAAAATACACATTGTTGAGTGTCACGCCTGTACGCTTTGTCATATTGACACAAAATTTGACAATCACGTGTATCTCAATAAGATCTACGAAAAAGTCAATGTGCACGTATCTGTAAAATGTACGGTTAAAGGGCTATTTCGCATTTTTTGCCGATTCGCACACATTGGAATGTGGCTAACTCCTCCTAAGGCTTTCGTTCCACTGACACCAAATTTGCTCAGGCCAATCTACACCCCATGGCCATTCAAAGTTGTTAAAATCATGACGCTGCACCCCACGGTTTACGTTCTAGGGGGCGCCAAAGAGGACCCAAATATCCAAATTTTTAAAAGTCTTATAACTTTATTTTTGTCCTCACTGGCCTCCAAGTTTTCTAGGATGATGCAATGTTCAGTCATCAACACATTTGTGAAGGAATTTTTTCTCCCCAAAAGAGCGCCCCCCCATGGCAGGAGAAAAAGTCAAGTTTTTCCTGCCCATCGCTCAATGGCTCAAACGCATCGCTCTCTCGGCAAAACCGAAAGGAGGAGCACCTTGCCATTTGGATATATACTAGCTGTGTTTGTGCCCTCACTCATGGTTCAGACTTTTTTCAAAAAGGACATGGAGTTTGTCTGCAGCGAGCGTTTTGGTAGAAACTGCGCCTCCCATTCATTATAATGGTAAATGACCACAGACAAGTGCGCACACCATCTTTGGACCTTGAGTGTGACGCCATCGGGAGGGGTAGGCGGTTGCGCTGGGGGCGGCGCGACACGGCTCGGGCCCGCCAGTGCCCCAACGGGGCCCTAGTTATTATTTTTCCTCCGCTTTAAACTGGAAAATGGCCCACTTCCCACTGGCGAAAACTCATGAAATTTGGCAGGACGACCGGGCCTGGTGAAAAATTCGATATTCTGAAGTCACCTAAACAATAAAATGCAAAATGGCTCCATAGCGCCCCCTAAGGTGAAAATTCACACTATTGACTGTCACGCCTGTACGCTTTGTCATATTGACACAAAAATTGACACACACATGTATCTCAATAAGATCTACAAAAAAGTCAGTGCGGGCGTATCTGTCAAATGTACGTTTAAAGGGTTATTTCGCATTTTTTGCCGATCCGCACACATTGGAATTTCGCTAACTCCTCCGAAGGCTTTCGTTCCACCGGCACCACATTTGCTCAGGCCAATCTACACTCCATGGCCATTCAAAGTTGTACAAATCATGATGCTGCACCCCATGGTTTAGGTTCTAGGGGGCGCCAAAAATAACCCAAAAATCCACATTCTTAAAAGTTTTATAACTTTTTATTTTTGTCCCCACTGGCCTCCAAGTTTTCTAGGATGATGCAATGTCCAGCCATAAACACATTTGTGAAGGAATTTTTACTCCCCAAAAGAGCGCCCCCCCATGGCAGGACAAAAAAGTCAATTTTTTCTTGTCCCCTAAGGTGAAAATACACATTGTTGAGATTCACGCCTGTACGCTTTGTCATATTGACAAAAAATTTGACACACACGTGTATCTCAATAAGATCTACGAAAAAGTCAATGCGCGCGTATCTGTCAAATGTACGGCTAAACGGCTATTTTGCATTTTTTGCCGATTCGCACACATTGGAATGTGGCTAACTCCTCCTAAGGCTTTCGTCCCACTGACACCAAATTTGCTCAGGCCAATCTACACCCCATGGCCATTCAAAGTTGTAAAAATCATGCCGCATCACCCCATGGTTTACGTTCTAGGGGGCGCCAAAGATGACCCAAATATCCACATTCTTAAAAGTCGTTTTGGCCACTGCAGGAGTACAGAGTACTGCAGGATACACACACACAGACACACACACACACAGACACACACACACACGCACGCACACACACACACACACACACACACACACATACACACTCAGAGTCTGTTTTTCAGCACCTGCAAAAACATGCTATTTACATATTTGACAACAATGCAGAGACTTCCTTTTGCCCCTGAAAAAAATCAAATTTCAAACACAACTTGACTGGTCATTTCTCCAAAAGACAACCATGAAGCTCCATCCAAACCTGAAGCAGGCAGTTGGTGCATGTGTATAGTAACCTGAGGGGAGTGAGGTGACTGCTTCTGAGGAGAACATGAGCAGTGAAGATTCACCTTGGAGCTAGAACAGAGACGTGCACATGATTATACAGGGGCAGGGGCTCAAGTTTTTTCCAGTTGTTTATACAATATGGAAATTAATGTGAAATTAAAAAACAAAGTATTAATAGAAAGGTAATGACTGTCCTGTGTAGGTGACAGTGATATCCAATAGGCTAGGCACTCACGAGGCTGGCTGTGGCAAGTGTAAGTGAAAGCAACACGCACTGGCAGGAAGAACAGCAAACGCCGATGAAGGAAAAGGGTCTTTGCAGTGATGGGCGTTACCAGAGAGGGTGATGGCCAGAGGACACAAATGGGACGGGGAGGCGGTCGCGTTGGGGGGGGGGGCGCGACACGGCTCGGGCCCGCCAGTGCCCCAACGGGGCCCTAGTTCTTCTTTTTCCTCCCCTTTGAACTGGAAAATGGCCCACTTCCCACTGGCGAAAACTAAGGAAATTTGGCAGGACGACCGGGCCTGGTGAAAAATTCGATATTCTGAAGTCGCCAAAACAATATGATGCAAAATGGCTCCATAGCGCCCCCTCAGGTGAAAATTCACACTATTGACTGTCACGCCTGTACGCTTTGTCAAAACGACACAAAAATTGACACACACATGTATCTCAATAAGATCTACAAAAAAGTCAGTGCGGGCGTATCTGTCAAATGTACGGTTAAAGGGTTATTTCGCATTTTTTGCCGATCCGCACACATTGGAATTTCGCTAACTCCTCCGAAGGCTTTCGTTCCACCGGCACCACATTTGCTCAGGCCAATCTACAACCCATGGCCATTAAAAGTTGCACAAATCATGATGCTGCACCCCACGGTTTAGGTTCTAGGGGGCGCCAAAAATAACGCAAAAATCCACATTCTTAAAAGTCTTATAACTTTTTATTTTTGTCCTCACTGGCCTCCAAGTTTTCTAGGATGATGCAATGTCCAGCCATCAACACATTTGTGAAGGAATTTTTACTCCCCAAAAGAGCGCCCCCCCATGGCAGGAGAAAAAAGTCCATTTTTTCTTGTCCCCTAAGGTGAAAATTCACACTATTGAGTGTCACGCCTGTACGCTTCGTCATATTGACACATAATTTGACAATCACGTGTATCTCAATAAGATCTACGAAAAAGTCAGTGTGGGCATATCTGTCAAATGTACGGTTAAAGGGTTATTTCGCATTTTTTGCTGATCCGCACACATTGGAATCACGCTAACTCCTCCTAAGGCTTTCGTTCCACCGGCACCAAATTTGCTCAGGCCAATCTACACCCCATGGCCATTAAAAGTTATACAAATCATGACGCTGTACCCCACAGTTTAGGTTCTGGGGGCGCCAAAGATTACCCAAATATTCATATTCTTAAAAGTCTTATAACTTTTTATTTTTGTCCTCACTGGCCTCCAAGTTTTGTAGGATTATGCAATGTCCAGCCATCAACACATTTGTGAAGGAATTTTTTCTCCCCAAAAGAGCGCCCCCCCATGGCAGGCGAAAAAGTCAAGTTTTTCCTGCCCATTGCTCAATGGCTCAAACATCGCTCTCTCGGCAAAACCGAAAGGAGGAGCAACTTGCCATTTGGATATATACTAGCTGTGTTTCTGCCCTCACTCATGGTTCAGACTTTTTCAAATAGGACATGGAGTTTTTCTGCAGCGAGCATTTTGGTAGAAACTGCGCCTCCCATTCATTATAACGGTAAATGACCACAGACAAGTGCACACACCATCTTTCGACCTTGAGTGTGACGCGATCAGGAGGGGGAGGCGGTCGCGCTGGGGGCGGTGCGACATAGCTCGGGCCCGCCAGTGCCCCAACGGGGCCCTAGTTAGGGCCCGAGCCAGCTGCAGAGCAGCCGGGCGTAGAGCCCTATTATTCCTGTATAGGTTTTTCTTTCTTCTTTCTTTCTTTAGGGCCCGAGCGTAGCTGCTAAGCAGCTGCGAGAGCCCTCTTGTTCCTGATGGATTCTTCTTTAGGGCCCGAGCCAGCTGCAGAGCAGCCGGGCGTAGAGCCCTATTATTCCTGTATAGGTTTTTCTTTCTTCTTTCTTTCTTTCTTTCTTTCTTTCTTTCTTCTTATTTTTCCTCCCCTTTGAAGGGGAAAATGGCCCACTTCCCACTGGCGAAAACTCATGAAATTTGGCAGGACGACCGGGCCTGGTGAAAAATTCGATATTCTGAAGTCGCCCAAACAATAAAATGCAAAATGGCTCCATAGCGCCCCCTAAGGTGAAAATTTACACTATTGACTGTCACGCCTGTACGCTTTGTCATATTGACTCAAAATTTGACACACACATGTATCTCAATAAGATCTACAAAAAAGTCAGTGCGGGCGTATCTGTCAAATGTACGGTTAAAGGGTTATTTCGCATTTTTTGCCGATCCGCACACATTGGAATTTCGCTAACTCCTCCGAAGGCTTTCGTTCCACCGGCACCACATTTGCTCAGGCCAATCTACACCCCATGGCCATTAAAAGTTGTACAAATCATGACGCTGCACCCCACGGTTTAGGTTCTAGGGGGCGCCAAAGATAACCCAAAAATCCACAGTCTTAAAAGTCTTATAACTTTTTATTTTTGTCCTCACTGGCCTCCAAGTTCTCTAGGATGATGCAATGTCCAGCAATTAACACATTTGTGAAGGAATTTTTACTCGCCAAAAGAGCGCCCCCCCATGGCAGGAGAAAAAAGTCCATTTTTTCTTGTCCCCTAAGGCGAAAATACACATTGTTGAGTGTCACGCCTGTACGCTTAGGCATATTGACACAAAATTTGACAATCACGTGTATCTCAATAAGATCTACGAAAAAGTCAATGTGTGCGTATCTGTAAAAAGTACGGTTAAAGGGCTATTTCGCATTTTTTGCCGATTCGCACACATTGGAATTTCGCTAACTCCTCCTAAAGCTTTCGTCCCACTGACACCACATTTGCTCAGGCAAATCTAAACCCCATGGCCATTCAAAGTTGTAAAAATTATGACGCTGCACCCCACGGTTTACGTTCTAGGGGGCGCCAAAGAGGACCCAAATATCCACATTTTTAAAAGTCTTATAACTTTATTTTTGTCCTCACTGGCCTCCAAGTTTTCTAGGATGATGCAATGTCCAGCCATCAGCACATGTGTGAAGGAATTTTTACTCCCTAAAAGGGCGCCCCCCCATGGCAGGAGAAAAAAGTCCATTTTTTCTTTACCCCCAAGGTAAAAATACACATTGTTGAGTGTCACACCTATACGCTTTGTCATATTGACACAAAATTTGACAATCAAGTGTATCTCAATAAGATCTACGAAAAAGTCAATGCGGGCGTATCTGTCAAATGTACGGTTAAAGGGCTATTTCGCATTTTTTGCCAATTCGCACACATTGGAATGTGGCTAACTCCTCCTAAAGCTTTCGTCCCATCGGCACCAAATTTGCTCAGGCCAATCTAAACCCCATGGCCATTCAAAGTTGTAAAAATCATGACGCTGCACCCCACGGTTTACGTTCTAGGGGGCGCCAAAGATAACCCAAAAATCCACATTTTCAAAAGTCTTATAACTTTTTATTTTTGTCCTCACTGGCCTCCAAGTTTTCTAGGATAATGCAATGTTCAGCCATCAACACAGTTGTGAAGGAATTTTTACTCTCCAAAAGAGCGCCCCCCCATGGCCGGAGAAAAGGTCAAGTTGTTCCTGCCCATCGCTTAATGGCTTAAACGCATCGCTCTCTCGGCAAAACCGAAAGGAGGAGCAACTTGCCATTTGGATATATCTTAGCTGTGTTTGTGCCCTCACTCATGTTCCAGACTTTTTTCAAATAGGACATGGAGTTTGTCTGCAGCGAGCGTTTTGGTAGAAACTGCGCCTCCCATTCATTATAATGGTAAATGACCACAGACAAGTGCGCACACCATCTTTGGACCTTGAGTGTGACGCGATCGGGAGGGGTAGGCGGTCGCGCTGGGGGCGGCGCGACACGGCTCGGGCCCGCCAGTGCCCCAACGGGGCCCTAGTTTCTTTTTCCTCCCCTTTGAACTGGAAAATGGCCCACTTCCCACTGGCGAAAACTCATGAAATTTGGCAGGACGACCAGGCCTGGTGAAAAATTCGATATTCTGAAGTCGCCCAAACAATAAAATGCAAAATGGCTCCATAGCGCCTCCTAAGGTGAAAATTCACACTATTGACTGTCACGCCTGTACGCTTTGTCAAAATGACACAAAAATTGACACACACATGTATCTCAATAAGATCTACAAAAAAGTCAGTGCGGGCGTATCTGTCAAATGTACGGTTAAAGGGTTATTGCGCATTTTTTGCCGATCCGCACACATTGGAATTTCGCTAACTCCTCCGAAGGCTTTCATTCCACCGGCACCAAATTTGCTCAGGCCAATCTACACCCCATGGCCATTAAAAGTTATTCAAATCATGACGCTGCACCCCACGGTTTAGGTTCTAGGGGGCGCCAAAATAACCCTAAAATCCACATATTTAAAAGTCTTATAACTTTTTATTTTTGCCCTCACTGGCCTCCAAGTTTTCTAGGATGATGCAATGTCCAGCCATCAACACATTTGTGAAGGAATTTTTACTCCCCAAAAGAGCGCCCCCCCATGGCAGGAGAAAAAAGTCCATTTTTACTTGTCCCCTACGGTGAAAATACACATTGTTTAGTGTCACGCCTGTACGCTTAGGCAAAATGACACAAAAATTGACACACACATGTATCTTAATAAGATCTACGAAAAAGTCAATGCGCACGTATCTGTCAAATGTACGGTTAAAGGGTTATTCCGCATTTTTTGCCGATCCGCACACATTGGAATGTGGCTAACTCCTCCTAAGGCTTTCGTTCCACTGGCACCACATTTGCTCAGGCCAATCTACACCCCATGGCCATTAAAAGTTATTCAAATCATGACGCTGCACCCCACGGTTTAGGTTCTAGGGGGCGCCAAAAATAACCCTAAAATCCACATATTTAAAAGTCTTATAACTTTTTATTTTTGTCCTCACTGGCCTCCAAGTTTTCTAGGATGATGCAATGTCCAGCCATCAACACATTTGTGAAGGAATTTTTACTCCCCAAAAGAGCGCCCCCCCATGGCAGGAGAAAAAAGTCCATTTTTTCTTGTCCCCTAAGGTGAAAATACACATTGTTTAGTGTCACGCCTGTACGCTTTGGCAAAATGACACAAAAATTGACACACACATGTATCTTAATAAGATCTACGAAAAAGTCAATGCGCACGTATCTGTCAAATGTACGGTTAAAGGGTTATTGCGCATTTTTTGCCGATCCGCACACATTGGAATTTCGCTAACTCCTCCTAAGGCTTTCGTTCCACCGGCACCACATTTGCTCAGGCCAATCTACACCCCATGGCCATTAAAAGTTATTCAAATCATGACGCTGCACCCCACGGTTTAGGTTCTAGGGGGCGCCAAAAATAACCCTAAAATCCACATATTTAAAAGTCTTATAACTTTTTATTTTTGCCCTCACTGGCCTCCAAGTTTTCTAGGATGATGCAATGTCCAGCCATCAACACATTTGTGAAGGAATTTTTACTCCCCAAAAGAGCGCCCCCCCATGGCAGGAGAAAAAGTCAAGTTTTTCCTGCCCATCGCTCAATGGCTCAAACGCATCGCTCTCTCGGCAAAACCGAAAGGAGGAGCAACTTGCCATTTGGATATATACTAGCTGTGTTTGTGCCCTCACTCATGGTCCAGACTTTTTTCAAAAAGGACATGGAGTTTGTCTGCAGTGAGCGTTTTGGTAGAAACTGCGCCTCCCATTCATTATAATGGTAAATGACCACAGACAAGTGCGCGCACCATCTTTGGACCTTGAGTGTGACGCAATCGGGAGGGGTAGGCAGTCGCGCTGGGGGCGGCGCGACACGGCTCGGGCCCGCCAGTGCCCCACCGGGGCCCTAGTTTTCTCTTTTTTCTGCCTGTTTTAAGGGTTTTCGACCTAGGCTCCCTCTCACCCTACCTTAAAGAGGTCGTCACTAATCTGGGAGTTAAATTTGACCCTGATTTTAAATTTGACAAGCAGATCAGCGGGGTGGTACAAAAAAGTTTTTATCAGCTACGCCAAATAGCGAAGGTGAAGCCCATTTTATCAAGACCTGACCTGGAAAAATTAATCCATGCTTTTATCACTACCCGTCTTGATTACTGCAACTCCTTGTACGTAGGGATTAGCCAGGCTTCCCTTGCCTGCCTGCAGCTTATGCAGAACTCTGCTGCACGTCTCCTGACACAGACCCGCAGGCGTGAGCACATCACCCCCATCCTGGCGTCCTTACACTGGCTCCCTGTTCAGTACAGAATTCATTTTAAGCTTTTAGCATTTGTTTTTAAGGGCCTGAACAACCTTGCTCCACCCTATATTTCGGAGATGCTACAGCCTTATTGCCCACCCCGACCCCTAAGATCAGCTGATCAGCTTTTACTGACCGTCCCCAGTACAAGGCTGAAGCTCAGAGGGGACAGAGCATTTGCCGCTGCTGCCCCTAAGCTCTGGAATGAGTTGCCCTTGAAAATTAGACAGGCCTCCTCATTTTCTGTTTTTAAATCCCTTTTAAAAACGTACTTTTACTCATTGGCTTTTAGTACATTGTAGTGTTAATTT